CCTTTACGGCCTCCCCTCTCCCCTTCTCTCCACCTCCAACCCATCTCCGTCGTAATCTCCTCCCCTTTGTTCAGGCTCTTCCCTTTCTTCCTCAGTCTATGGATGGGGTTATTGTTTATCAGGCTCTTATACAAAAAATGGAGCTTATTTTAGCCTTTGAATAGGATTTTCTGTTTTCCTTCGGTAGCGTGTTGCGCACATAGGGAAGATCAAGCCACGCCACCGGTTCCCATTATCAAAATCTTTGTCAACTTGTCTCCCTCGGTAGGAATGCCTTTCCTTCTCCAGCAGGCAATTGTCTTCTCTCTCTCACCTCCGGTATTTCTTCCGATGCGCTTTATTAATCTCGCTTGCCGTGTGTATCGACTCTATCATTCAACAAGGACAAATTCAAAAATTTGCTTTTTTTTCCTCCACTGCTTTACCACTATACCTCCTGAGTGGGTACTCGGAGTTTCATCTAATGTACTATTTGATCAGTCGCTTCCACACAGCACAAAGGCGGTAGCTATCCGAACTGTAAATTTTTCCTTCAATTTCGATAGATTCTCGATTTATTCTTGGCCAGTAGTAGCTAGTTTTGCACAGAACTTCAACATTAAAATCAACTGAGTGTCCTTGTTGGCACGTGTGCTCTGCTACTGCTGAACACGGGTGCCAACAAATAAATACATTATTTAAATGCATGCCTATAAAGGGCAGCATACTTCAATAGGGATTACCATTGGTACGGCTATTTTAATACACAATAGACAGGAAGGACAAGATCAAAATGCTCTCATTATGCACATGCATAATGTACGTTGACTCGGTAATCTCCCCCCCCCCCCCCCACTTTGCGCGACAGTGTCACAAATCTGGCTGTCGCCTGATGAAGCTAGTTGTAATTACTGGCAAAACATCGTACTCCGATTATAAATGTTGTGGCTTGGCTCTCCAAAGTACCAGTGACGAATTGGCTTGTTCTGTTTCCGTGACAACCCTTACTAGTTGGCTGTGTCGAGTGGTGGCGGGTTTTAACGACACGTTTATATATGTACGCGATCTAACCCAAAAAACACCTCTATGGATAATATTGGACCCGAAAGCCTACGTGTTAAACCAAAATTAAAAATATTTACAAAATAACAATAATTTCTAGTTTTCCTCATTCACATCGTGATTCGTATGAAAAGACATGAGATGATTGAGACATGTTAAATCATAAACTATTTATTAATATATATACAGATAGTCCTCGACTGCAATGTCCTTGTCCACGTGCAAACAGAGTTAGGATAGCAGCCTCCTTTAAAAGTCAGAGTAGATTTATACACTGTAGAAGACAGTTGACGAATCCTCGCTGCTTGATTCCTCCTCGGATCCCTTCAGCAGTGAGTCGTCACCAGTCTTCTCTGCCTGCTCATTCTCCATGTGGCACCGCTGGGGTGGGTGCGATACGCCAGGAGACTGCTTATGCAGCGAGCAGCGAAGCAGGCCCATCTCTGCCTGCTCATCCTCAACGTGGAATTGAGGCGATGGCGGTGAGCTGGGGGCATCGGTGAGGAGGGTGTTACGGAGACGGCCCAGCTCTGCCTGCTGCAGAATCGTCTGTACGACGAAGCGCTCGCGGCGCATGCAGGCGCGCACATGGGATGGCGTGTCCGGGATGATGTATGCAATGCAGGCCTTCGTGAGTAACACCACGTGCTGCACACGTCCACACACAGGTAAAGGATTTTCAGTTTCAGGATTTGCATGTAAAGGGTGCTTACTAAATATAATATGGCAGCATCTCAAAGTGCTTTACATCTCAGGTCAACTATTCCGGGGACCTGCAGCCTAGGGATATTATATTGTTACGTCGTTTTTCCCAATTAAATTAAGTCATTTGAGTAATTTTTGAACATTTGGCAAATTATACCGAGGCACTTTTTTTGAATTACTTAATGGGTTTTTTTACGTTCACTATGCAGCAGGCAACATTTATGATGTGCAGTTAATGCACCCACCGTATTCACCTGGGCAGCCGCAAATTACCGCAACAATCAGCAAACACTTACACTCGGCCATGTCACCACTACAAAGATTCCCTGTGTAGCCTTTCACAGACTGAGACAAGTGCATCTATGAAGGTTGGCACAGTGCCTGTGGGGGTGGTGTGCACCTTTATCTCGCCAGTGATGATTTTCACACACTTCATCAAGTACTCATTTTAAGACAGAATCAACTTAAGGGAAGCTCAACACTGGTTCTAATATTTTCCACTGTTGTTGGCTGTGGCCAGAAATAGTACTCCGGTCACACAGGATTGGTAGCGCAGTTCACAAACAACTACGCAGCCGCTCCCCTTCCCACACGCACACATGCTTACGTGTGACAAATTGCATCAACAACATGAATCGTCTGCTGCATGATGAAAGTGAGTATTGTATTACCACTATTATTTGTGATCTCAGAAATACTGTGCAATTGTGAGGTGTAATAGCATTACTGGCATTATCTGTAATGACCCATTGACAATGATCACGGTTTGCTCTGCTGACCTTAACAACTGCTCACAGATGAGTCTATACGATGGTGCAGTAGTGTAAGGCTTTGCACACTAGACTTGCAATCCAGAGGTCACGGGTGTGAATTGATCTTTGATCGTGGGAGTGTAAACAATGGTGAAAGTTTTTTTTTACATTCCACTGCCTCTATCCACCTAGCAGTGTAAATGGAATACATCCAGTCAATTGGTCGGCTGAGTTTGGTTCTGTCCAGTGTGGGAACTCCCACATCTTCCCAAGACGTCTGACCAGTGTGGAAGAGCAGTAAAATACATCTTAAGGGTCTCTCTTGAGCTCCCTATAGCAGGAGCGCTTTTGCCATCAGTGACATGAGCAAGTAATTGGAGGGCTGTACCTTTATCTTTCAATGGGTTTATGAATGTGTGTGTGTGTGCATGTTGATGTGTACCTGCATGGCAATGACGAAGGCCAGCTTTGCCGTCAGTACTTGCCAGTACTGCTTGGTGACGGAGTAGGCTTGGGGATGATCCGGCGGGTAGCGATAACCTGGATACCTACACACATACAACCACAAGCACGCATGGACTATATTGAGCAAAGTGCCTCGAAAGTAGAGTTGGCGCTAAATTGAACAAGTATGGTTGTGCACAAACGGTATATGCGTTCACAGCCCTTTAAAAAATCCGCTTCTGAAAGAGGGCCTTCCCACAACGTGCAGCTTGTGGGGGCTCTATTGACCATGGTTCACGCTGGTCCGTACCAGGTTGGTGAAGGTAGGGAGTACAGATAATGGGAGAACAATATAGCACAACTATTAATTTTTCTGAACTACCCACTGCTGACAACCTAGCTCCAAAGTCGCCTACTGCACCTGCATTGTGCATGGTGTTCATCAATCTAAGCACGAACAAGGCTCAAGCCTGCTTGACTTCCGGAATCTAAGATTAGCTGTATTCGTGGTGATTTGGTCATAGTCAAGTAAGGTTATATTAAATATCGATCAATATGGTTATATTGATTATAGTTGTGTATGCCAGCAATTCAAAAACGTTACAGAAAAGGGTTGGTAGATCGCATCAATTTCCTAACTAACTGTGCTGTGAGGTGACCAGAAGATGGCTGTAGAGCAAGTGGTTTCATGTCTGTGTGGACCTTTAAGCTTCATTTCATTATCATGGGTTCTCCAGGACCTCTTATTGCATCCCACATGCATAAGACCACCTTAAACTGGAATCCCAATGCACGGTCTTCCTGAAAAGGGATCTTGAGACTCAATTAAGCAGTCGTGGATCGATAGATAAATAAATAACATTACTCTTTAGCAAGGTAACAATGAGCTAGAATTTATATCAATCTATTATTATATTTCTCTAAGTGGGACTTTGGTTGTGAAGCCATCCCACCCGTACCCACTGCTCCCCCCCTCCAATTCCCCCCCCCACCCCCTTTACTGTCCCCACCCACCATGCACACTCTTCCCCCAACCCTACCACAACCCCTTACTACCCAACTAAGCCAAACCCTGTGTCCACGGTAAGGGGCAGGGCATAAACAGAGGTGGGGCCTAGGGGAAGTGTGGGTCTTAAAAGGAAAGTCACGGAGTGAAAAGAGGAAGAGAACGAGCCTAATCAGGAAGGGGCGGAGCCAGGAGGACGCCACACCCAGAAGGATGTCGCATCTACCTGGACAACACACCCAGACATCAGTGCATCACATTCGCAGGGACGGCACCCCCGATAGCTGGGCATGACACTGAATGGCACAAACCTGCAGGTTGTGTGGATTGCCGGATCAAACCAGGCTGGCAGGATGTTGGGATAATTTTGCTCCTTGAAGTCGCTGATCTTGAAAATTGAAAGGCTGTCCTCCGTGTACCCATGCATTGTAGGCGAACCTGTGCCATACTCTGCTGAGTATCCATAATAATACACCAGGCGTGGGATGATGTCCGTTGTGAACGCCAAGATGCATGACTGTGGAATTAGCATACGGAGGCACAGCGATAGCGGTCACTTAGCATGCAATGATTTGACCAAGGCTTCTGAACATCTTACCTTGGCAATTACATTAATTTTCACAAATACAATTTGGGGGGTTGCTGCCAGAGTGAAATGGTTACCATATAAGGACTTGCAATCTGGCAGTCGTCAGTTCAGTCTCCTGACACAACAGTTGAAGCAATGGATCATTTTCTTAAATCTCCCCCACCTCTGTCCAATTAGCAATATAAATGGGTTCATCACTGTTTTAGCGCAGGTAATTCCACATCTTACAACATGTCTGGTCATCATGGAAGAGTAGGCCAAATACCGTGTAGAGGGGTTCTCTAGAGCTACCTTTAGTTGAGGCCCTTCTGCCAGCAGTGACATGAGCAAGCAATTGCAAGGCTTTACCTTTTGCGATTTTGGGAGAGAGTGGATAGGAGCGGTGGTGCAGTGATTCGTGCACTGCACTTTGAATTCAGCACACATGCAATTGACTTCCAGCTACGACTAACATCAGTGACGAGTGATACCCGAACCGCTCCTGGTCCCCCACTACACCTCTTCTCAAACCTGCCAGGACCAGAATGGTGAAGTATGGTAAAAAGAACCCACACGGCTAACATGACATGTTATGTCACTCATAAGATGGGATATTGAGCGAGAAAGCGAGCGGACAATCTGGCGACTTACATTGGTGATTACAGAGAGGGTGGCAACGATACTCAGAATGTCGGCCCAGGCTCCAATTCCTCTTGCTCGCGAAACCACAGGCCTCCTCATCTTTGTTACGAGCTTCCACGCGTCGACCCGCACTTCGATGATGTTGTTGAGCAGTGCGAGCAATGGCGCAAGTGGAAATGATGCCACGAAGAGAGTGACAAACCCGAATTGGATAACTGGGGTATATTTTGAGAATGGGTAGGGGGGCAAGGATAGGATAATGAGTGAAACAGGATATAGACATACACTCTTAATGCTGTTATGTTGTGATTACTTTAAGCAAACAAAACATGTTTTCAATGCATTGAATGTGTTTTAGTCAAAGGAGACCCCAAAATATGATCACATTTTCGTGTCATTTGTTCACAAAATTATCGTGTCCATTACATTGGCCACTGAGATGCGACCAGCCACTACCATCTTTAATGCTCAGCTCTGGTTCACCTGGGTTTCTTTTGCACCATTTTCCACCACTAGGTGGCTATAATAACTAGATCACATCCTGTATTGAGGACTCCATTAACCGTACCACACATTTTTAGGCATATGCACTGTGGCTGAAATGCCAACAAATCACAGCAGTTAACCACAGTGGACATGATGCACAAGAGTTTTAAATAAATAGTAAGGGGGAGAAACGTCAACCCAAGCTGACCAATGTAGCTGCATTGGTTAGCAGACAAGAGGAGCAAATATGTGCTCCTATTGTTTCTAAAACTTAACTCCGTACATATGCACATACGCGCATGCTCAAAGACAATTGTGTTACAGTATATCCATAGATTGGTGCCTATGGCCAAATCACCCAGTATGCGTCAGATTTAATCAGATCCCAGAAGTTAAGGAGAGCTGAGCCTGAAAATTGGTTGGATGGGTGACCATGCAATAGTTATTGTGGGGTTGTGAGCAGCATAGGACAGTGCAGCAAATTACATTGTTGTATTGTACATCTAAGCTCTTACATCTGTGCTCCCTGCCTTCAACAACCCGAAGTGTGGGTAATTTCCCTCCCACAACAATGTCCGACAGATACACAGGGGCCGTACACACGTGCCTATATAGTCAAATGATACCCAATTGTGTGTTTTTTTATAATAAAGTAAAACGCGTTGACTCCGTAGTGTGATCCTCTGAGCTCATTGTACCCATCTCGAGGTATTCATCAAAGAGTCCAAGTGGGCTCTGGGGCTGTAGGTCCATGTCTTGCTCCCAGCGCGTGTAGACAGCCTCAGGCCTTAGCTTGGCCCGACGCTGGGCCCACCAATTGCTGAACCATCTGGGGAATTGTGGAGGGAGGTACGCATGTGCAGACACAGAGACACCCTTACACACGTGCATATCCATTTGTTCATCAACTCTAGGTTTGCTATTTCATAGCTTTCCACTGCGTTTTCAGGTTGTATCATGTGAATATCCCAAGCACGTGGAGCGAAACGTCAAGACATGCCAAACAATATGCGGTATGACACAAAACATGTCAGAGAGCTGTACAAAACAACTGCTAAAACCTAAGTAGTAGCTGTTTTTCATTTAGCCCGTTGTCAATCCACTACACTCTTTCAGTCATGGGAGTTGCTTGTCTAATATTATGAAACTATGTACGAAGCGTCTGATCGGAATATCGCATGATACTAACGAGGTGAACTTTGTCCACTTGACTGGTGTTCACTGCTTAACCAGTGCACACTGCTAACAAGCTGTCGACCCGACTTTTCGCTGAATGCGTTTTCACACAACACATTTTCATTGTAACATGGTTCTTATATTTGGGAAAACTTTTCACACAACGTGGAACGTGTCCATTATAATGTGGAATGCACACTGTTAAAACGCCGAACGCGGCCATTATAATGCGTTCCTGAGCAGTCGACGATGAACGACTGTCTTGAGTTGCGCGGCTGAGCAGTTTGATAAAGTATGCCGAATGATACAGTAACACGGCAGCCTAGCCTGAGTTATTTATCCCACCATGGGATGACTGCAGGTTGAATTTACTGTGAAAATGTGATTAACTCAGTAATTCCTTGCTTTGCGCGTTTTTACTTCACGCGGAAATTTTCAGGAACGCATCTACCGCGTGACACGAGGAAACGCCGTAATCAGACTTCACAGCTATCATGTGTTCATGCGATACTTACGGGATGATGACCTCCTGAAAATTGCCAACCATCTGCTTCACTACCATGATGACAGTGAGTTGAGAAGTCAGTTCAAAGAGACAGCCGTTTGGGGGACACTGGAGGGGGGATGGGGTGGAGAATAGATTCAGGTTAAACACTGAAGATATGAAATATTGGGTAATACATATATGGATACCACACATCATTTCTAATGATCCTCTCACATTCTTCTCTTCAGTCAATTGCACACTGCAAAAGTGACGGCTCCATATGTTAGAGGGGACAGTGATTAAGAATATCAATATTCTCCAGATTATAAGAAACACTTTCCCCCTCCCCCTCATGTATTTTAAATAAAGAAAATGGTGGCGCATCTGATGTTTTGTTTGTTGTCCTTCCCCCACACATCCGATGCAGGCTGTGTACGGTGCAAAATAAGTTCAACACACAACATGCATACTGCAGTTGGTGTTTAGTATCAGGTGAGTTTAATTCCAGAGCATCGTCTAGTAAATATAATAATCGTAAAACATGAAATTAAGTTGGTAGAAAACACAGAGGCACTTAAATAATAAGCTGTATTCTTTATCCTTTATCTGTATTGTTTTTGAGAGGATATCAATCAATGAATCGCCCTCGTGACGATTTTCTGCAAATCTGCAGCAGGAGAAGTAGGCACCTTAATATAACACCAAATATACTCATAATAATCATCTCATGTGTCAACAAGTCTGCCTTCAAACAGAAACATGAGCAACAGGTGCACATTTTGGGCAATGGACTTTCTTCCGAGCATAGAGTGACTGCAAATACTCAGGGTGACTCTGAATGGCAATTATGTAAATGTTAAACTACGTGTCATTAACACTGTCTTAATGACATTGATTTAACGTGTGCACAACGCAATGCTGCTTAATTCCTTACTCCAGAATTCGTTCTTGATATCATATTACGGGGCCGTTCTCTAACACAACGTGCTCCACTGCGCCACAGTGAGTCATAGGTAGTGGCTAAACATATCCTTGAGGGGGGCTGAAATACTGTACATTTTTAAGGATGATCAAATATATAATTTTAAATAAATGGCGTTTGATAAATACGGTATATAATTGAAAATGTCCAATGAGAGACCACAAGGGTACTACTTGCAAAGTATGTGATAAACTAACACCCTCAAGGTAACTGGGTTACCAATTGCATCAGTCTAACACGTGTTCTGCTCGTGGTGACCTCGTGCTCTCTCAAGTCTGGTTTCGAAAACTTTTTTACTCCGGAGACTGTGTTAATGCTAGAGCTGGTGACCAGGTGTGAAGACAATGAGGCCTTTTAGAGTTCCAAAAGAAAGAGTCCTTATTTCGACATTTCACCAACAGCACGGTGTGAAGACAATTGTTGGGAAAAATATCAACTACAAAAGTAAAACATAAAAATGTTGTACAAACAGCATAGAAAAGACAGGGCCAACCCCTCAGATCTACACACCTCCTCGATTCTCCATTTTCCAAAGTAAGTGTAGCTTCCGGGGAAGCCGATGAATTTCCCTTTGAAAAATGCAATGTAGAAAGACGCCGAGTAGAAGTTGACGAACTGAAATAAGAATTTCTTGAACGTCAGCCGATACTCATATTCTCCTTGCGTCTTGGGCATCTCTGTGGGTGTGATACAAAGGCACACAGGGACACAGACATCAAACAGGGCAATCAGTTTTGATGTTACTTACATAGTTTCTGGCACACAGGCTACGAAAAGCCACTGATAATGATGCCGCATTGAGGAATAGCAACATTTCACAATGTGACGTGCTTTGATATCCATTAAAATGAATTTGAAGATCAAAAGTGAATTTCAAAGATGTTGCTGGGGAATGAGTGACAGTGGACAAGTTGTTTACCAGGTGTTGTTCACCACATTCACCCTGTGGAGTGTCCTTCAGTCTCCATTTGCAATTAAGCCATTTACACTGTCCGTATGATGTCTGAAAGCCAGTGCACTTGATTTTCAAATATCTTTAAGGTGTATTAAATTTCGATTTAAAGCTTTCGTGACTGCAAGGATTCATTTTCTTTGGTTCTTTCGGTAAAGTCACGTAGAATGAGAATAAAATAATAAATTGATAAAATAAAATAACACAATAATATTCTCACGACGCTTCGGCCACAACACAAGCGGCCTTCATCAGGTGAAGGGACGAGACTGTCTGGAGGACAGCGCTAATTATCATGGGTCACCTTTCAGAGGGGGTGCAGGCTTCAGCAGGATAAATTACTAATAAAGGGCTCAGTAGCGGGCAACATGACCAACACAAGCAGAGAGCTGTTTGCTGGCTAGAAGGTAGCAATGCAGCAGTGAGGGTCAGCCCACAATTACATTCAGTGATTCAATGGATCGAGAGGTGAAATCAGAGCGCTAAGTTGGCACCATTGAGATCCTGGGTTTAAATCCAGGCAGCGACCTCTGGTAACATGTGTTCTCAAGTGCAGTAAATTAATGGCTTCAGGACGATTACTAATGATGGCATTACATCTGTAACATACACCATTTGGTTCATCACTTAATTTGGTGAAATTTTAGTTGTGAGAATGAGCAATTTGACTGTTACGAGATTAACATTATATTCCGTAGCAGTGTGGATTGAAAAGTGCTTCCCTCTAATGTGTGAACCAGAGTTCACTTGAATGAAGGGTCTCAGAGGTAGCTCACTTCTAGGGCCATTTCATGACATTAAGGGTTGCACTGGTCTACAAGAGATCCCATTGGATACTTCATCTCAAGACACGATTCTGATAGCCCAATCGGAATGAAACTGGAGGAAAAATTTAACAGAGTTCTGACAAAAACAGGCAGTAGTTGAACAAGTGATTGGATGATGCACTGATGCTGCTATTCATGGCCTCATGGTGCAAGGTTAAAATCATGATGACATTTTACAGCGACAATATTTACCATGCACAACATTTATCCAATCTTCAAATTTACATGTGTTCTCTGGTGGCGTATAATAAAATAAACATATGCAAACCGTGATGGTGATGACACCTACCCAGATCAGTGAGGACGAGGGCCAGCTTGTCGTAACCTTTGTTGAGTAGTAATATGATTACGATGTTGAGGATGGAGGCCGTGATGGTGGTAACCATATCAGGTGTGAGTAGGGCACCGATCACCTTGATCTTGGTCACATGATTGGGGATACTCGAGGAGAGTATGCCAAAGATGGACAGGCGGTAAACAACCACACCCAAAATTGCAGCAAGAATCAGGAGGATCTGCCAGTAACACAAGAAACACAGAGGTGGGTGAGATTTACAGTCTTGTAGCTCTTTTCCACTGTATAACCAAGCCGTGAGTTAGCTGTGCCAAGCTAGCCTGGTGTGACTCAGGAGGTGCCAGTTCGTTTGTCTACTGCAGAACCAAATGACTGGCAAAACGTCGTACTCAGATTGTAGATATTGTGGATTTGCTGTACTAGTAACGAATTGGCATGTTCTGTTTACGTGAACAACTTTACTAATTGGCTGTGTCGGGTGGTGGTGGGTTTCATGGCATATATTTACGCGATCTAACCCAAAAAAAATATTATGGATGATATTGGTCGCGAAAAGCCTACATGTTAAACAGAACCTGAGCTGTTTCGCTAACATCACACACAATGAACGTGTAATGGTAACGTCACTTGGTTAATTGTAGAAAATGATGCAAGGTTATGAAAGGAATTACTATCCCTGGCCCTGCTAGACCTCGAGCCAGGTTCAGATGTGAAGTTGAGACCAAAAGCTACAAGGCCAAGGTGAGGCCAAGGCGGCAGCTTTTTAGGCCACAATCAGTGTCAAGGTCACTCAAGGTTGGGTGCGCTAGTATGAGGCCAGTGTCAAGGTCGGTACCTCTAAGAAACCTCCTCGGACTGAGGCCACACACTCAAGGCCAAGGAGCTGAGGACATGTTTTTCATCTGGCCTTAAGGCCGAGGACTGGTCTCGAGAAACCCAAATCGAGGTTGACAGGAGCAGGTGGATAACATGATATGGCTCATGAGGTATTCATTGCCTTGGGGCAGCAGTAGATATTTCAGGTGATTGGATTGACAAAGGGCTGTAAGTTATATGATTATGCATGTATCTATACCCCCACTTGTAATCACTCAATGGATCACACAGGAGGAACAACATAGTTTGAGAGCGATTCTGACTGGGGGAGCAGCGTGTGGAGGTTGGGATTGGGTCAAGTAAAAATATATATGTGTATAACCCGTATATGAATCCACTGCTGGATGATGGCCTCCCCAAACCTGTGCAGGTTGTCAGGGTTATTTTCCCATACTTCACCATGCACACCAGTACAGGTTGGTAAAGGATGGAAGCATAAGAATGCAGTTCTCTGTTGGCCACAAGGTAGCTCTGCAGCAGCCTACAGTCCATTTTGTGCATGATGGTTACCGATTCGTGCAGTACCCAGGCTCAAAACCTGCTTCGCCTCCAAGATGAGGCACATAGCAGGTGACTTGGCCATAGCTCACTGGATCAGGAGAAGGGGTTCAATGTTGCTGTTGAGTTGGCGGACTCACCCAGAACAACACCATGATCCCAGAGAGGCAGTAACGGAACCTCAGTATCCTCTTAGGCATATGAGGCTCCTCCTCCTGCACTCACAATGCACGGACATAGACGGAAAAGCATTTGTATATAGATTAGTCTGTAGGAGTGACCAATGTTAGTGTGAGCCGTTAAGGTTGACTGATGAACCATTATTTGTTTTCCCCACTACTAGTTAAGCATGCGATGATATAAAGGAATGGATTTGATGGTCCTGATGTCTGAGAGTTGAGCTGGCAGCGCTGAGATTCATTGGCTTGAATCCAGGCAGCTGCCTCCAATTAAACCAAGTAGTAAGCCGATCAGCCTGGTCACCAATATTACATTTGTTTCTTTTCTTAATTTGGACAAATTTCACCTTTCAGAATAAAAAAAGATTAGTTTGACCATCATGAACATTTCTTTGTAGCAGGGCTGATGGGAAAGGGCCACCCTCTAGTGTGTGTTCACTTGAAGGGATCTTAGAAGTAATTATGTAACATCTGCTTCAGCAAACCTTTCCATAACATAGAGTTCCAAATGGACATTGTTTCATAACGATTCCGATAGTACAATCGGGATAATATTGGGAGGAAAACACAATTGAGCAAAGGCCAACAAATATGTTAGAAGAAAAACTAGGAAAACAGTGAACAGTTACACATGCAACATTACAAAACAGAGGTGTGTGTGTGCAATGAGGTAGTCGCCGTGGTGACAGCAAAAAGCATTACCATGGTGATGATGTTACATTTCGTGGTCGTGCAGCGAGCCAGGTACTCGGGCCGGATGGGGTCTCCTTCCTCCGCCGCTGCCGTCAGGTCCCAGCGGTATGCGAGCGATGCCTGGCGACGCTTCCAAAATTCCAGGAACACCGTGGCTGTTGCGACACACCACACGGGGAGGATTTACTTTGAAAAGTAATTTGACTATCGATTGCTCAAGGGTTCAAAAGTTACCTAATGTAGTCTGTTAAATGTAATGTTCAAAGTAACTTCATTAGTACTTTTTTTGTCTTTCATAAATACCTTTATTGGCTTTTTTTGGTACATTGCCACAATTTTATCCCACTTGCACCATGAGTGGCATGGCATGAGATTGAGATTTCTTTTGGATCTATAACAGAGCAGTGCTGCTCTTCGTGTTACAAAACGTTACACAAAAGCGAATGTCACAGAGCTACCTCTGTGATCTCTGATCCACATAGTAGGGGTAGCTCTTTCCCAACTGCTTTGCCACGGAGAGGAGCGTTTGTTACGTGATAGTCAAGCTAACATTTTTATTCTCAGAGCTGGAATGTAGCCAAATTAAGTACAGAAGCAACTTCAACATTATGGATTTTTTTCTATTTGTTGTGCAGATATCGGTGATTGAGTTGAGACCATCATCTCGCTATAATTGAAAAACTTGTTTAATCGCAGGTGGCCACTTTCATTTCAACACAGAATCTCAGCGGCGGCAACGCAGCACTCTGAACTCTGAGCCACCTGGCCACTTTGTATTTTTCATGGAATCGCCTTGGGGTAGCGCATTCGTTGCTTGTTGCAGAGGTTCGTGGTTCAAATTATGTGGCTGCCCTGATTAATATTGCCGGTGTATTAATTACACAAAAATACACACCATCTGCTTCACAGTGGACATTAAAGATTATCGGTTATCATTCGTAAGAGTAGGACAATGTGTACAAGTCATGGTCCAAATGTGCCCTCATTGAGCAGTGGGTTCATAATAGGACTGTCAGGATCACTGCATACGAACATTGCAAGACATGATGGTACTGTATATGGTTGTACGTATGTATGTTGAACTTCTTTAACACTGTACGTGGCCAAATGTGCTCATCATCATTGCAAACATGTTGATACTTGTCACTGTGTCTGGACAATGTGTGCCAATGCTTAGAATCACTTACCCCAAAGTCCCATGAAAACTGCGAAGAATATGGTGACCGGATTTTCATACATGTGTGAAGTCTGCAACGGCACAATCAGAGGTGTTAGTCACAATTAAACCTTAAATCTTAGCATCCACGTCTTTTCAATATCAACAGCAGGAAAGTAACGATGCATCGATTGATTTTTAAGTTAAAATAGATTAATCACTCATGAAACATCCATTAAATTGTGGAGATGACAATGCTCTACAATGTCTGATATTATAGTGCTATTCATGTATCAAACAAATCTGTATAAATGTGACAGAAAGAGCAAAATAAGCAATGGGCAGTTCCATGATTGTGGACATACATTTCAGACACTTTAAAGTGAATAATCATTATTTCGGCATGACATGTCAACTAATTAGCACTGAAATTCAGATTTCAAAATACTTTGTCCACTTGTATTGATCGTGGAGAAATACTCATGAAATACATCGTGTCGGATTTACTCAAAGTAACTTTTGCACTCCCGCTGGGATGTGACGATGCATTCATTTTCATGTATTTGTCTAACCATCGACTTAGTCCATTAAAATACCCTATTTGCTAAAACTATAACTAACTACCTTCAAAATGATCACACGTGTATTATTAGTATAATATTTTTTTAACACCCACACGAATGGCAGCATAGTGTTTAGCATGATGTGCTGCAATCTAGTGATCATGGTTAATGTTAATGATACAATCTCAGCAACGTGAGTTGGCTTTGTGATAATGATGCACAGCACCAATAACCAATAAGTATCCTTATTTAGAGGGAACATCGATGGTGTATTTGTGTGATACCTTCGCAGTCTCGCAGGTATCATTTAGCCTCCAAAAGGTGCATTTTTGGTCACACTGGGGACACATGACCAGGGATCCTCCGATGGTGTTGTTGCATATTTCTCCACTGCACACATAGACACGCACGAACATAAACACACTAATGGGCATAATACACTTGGATGAGAAATATAATTTGCCTAAAGGTCATGCCACCTTTGAATGTGTCATACCCTCCCTTTAAACAAAGTCAGACTAAATTATGGGTTCCAACGTCGAGCATTTTCCAAAGTAAAATGTATTTCCTGATGTTTAATTATAATTTTCGTTGATATCAGTGGTGTAACATCTCTATGTATTGATTTCCAGGGGTGTTTACAGCCCTTTTATCAATCCACTTCTGGCTGAGGGCCTCCCCACACCTCTGTGGGTCAGTGAGGGGCTATTTATTCTAGTCATCCCACACTGGTCAGTACGGGTCTGAATATGGGAAGCGAAGACTCCAGACATAGAGTACAGCAATGTATTTCCTGCACTTCCTACCCGCTGTCCGTCATGCAGCTCCACAGAGTCTATGTGTGTAAGTCGTATTATAAGGATACGTTTCACATTTAAACATTTTGGATTTGAATATGTTTTGCTTTTGATTTTCGGATTATTTACAATTTGTAAGAATGTACAATATATTCATGTGAACAAGAGTGACGAAACCCGATGCCACGTGATACGTGTCGTCGTGAGTGACGTCACAATGGGCGATGTCATGTTTTCTGAGCAATCCAAAACAATGTTTAATTTTCCCTGGATTGTCCGAAATATTGTATCTAGGTTCGATTTTTTTTATTTACTTTTATATAAACAGAGACATTTGGAACATATACATATAATATATTAATGTACTATATTTGTACTGTATATGTATATAAACTGTATGAGATTGTATATATGTGCATATGTACATTTAAGTAGTGAAATGTTAAAGATGTGGCCCTGAAATTGCTTGCTCATGCCACTGCTGGTGGAAGGTCCTCCACTAAAGGAATACTCTAGATTGCCCCTCGAGATGATATTTGGCCTACTCGTCCATAATGGCCAGACGTCTTGGACACGGTGGGAGTACCCACATTTTACCCCATCCACATCGTGAACTGCCAATCATCTAACCGCAGGTGTCTCGTTTATACTGCTGAGCATATGTGGGATAATTGAAGAAACCTAGCCATTATTTCAGCTGCCATGCCAGGCGATCGCACTGGAAAGCTCTATAAACTGCAATTCTAGGAATATAACTATTATCACCATGGCAGCATCCCATGGGATTGTATATAAGTGTATATGTATGTCTATGTGTACTGTACGTGTATATTGTATAGCCTTAGTAGGTGCTTGCCTGATACTCATTATTCAGTCTGTATTGCCTATGACAGAGATCTCTGTGTGAGTTCTACATCTGATACATGCGTGTATGTGTGTGTTTGTATGCATTTGTCTGTATGCATGTGTCGGGCCAGTACCTAGTAATGTCACGGTCCTTGCTGAATACTCCAAAGAAAAAGGAGATCAGGCCGACGATTGCAGCGAAGATCAGCATCTTTGTGTAGAAGCCGAGCCATGCAAAATAGAACCCCACTTGCTCCCCGAAGTATGACCTGTGCCGACAACATCACTCGCACACACAGCGCAAACATCACCAACCGCACATGGCACCAGTGGTGTAGCTATCGAATATGTAAGCAAGGACCATGGGCTGGAGGGAAATGTGAAGAGCAGGGAAGGCATGGGCAAATGCTATTCTGGAACTCCACTTCCCCAAGCCTTCTGTGCTATCAACTCACAGCTAGCATTCAAGTCCAGCCTTAGGACCTTCCTGGACAGGGCACATCCCTAAGAGGTACGATGACCTGTGGTCAAGACTAAGAATGATGTGGTAGTCAAGAGAAGGAATGCATCTGAGAGGATGTGCGCCACAGAGATTTAAGTAATGAAATCAGCATGTGTGCAGGGGCTACATCGATCGTTGCATCAGGAGACTGGGAGAGATGGTGAAGGCTTGGAGAAGTCTTCATCCAGCAGTGGATAGGGCATGAACTTACCGCACAAGGTCAAGAGGCTGCTCCTTGAAAGAGCGTCCGGCTCTCGCCCACTCCCGTCGCAGCGTGTTACGGTCGCCCAGCGTGTTCGGGTTTTTGGTGGGATGAACAGACTCACTCTGACATGGGGAACGTAATTGTTAGTCACAAACACTGCATGGACATTCACAAATTACCAGGTCCACCCCCCAAAACTCTGCCGTGGCGCTGCTGTGGTGTATTGGTGTTGCACAATGGGGAACGTAATTGTTAGTCACAAACACTGCATGGACATTCACAAATTACCAGCTCCACCCCCCAAAACTCTGCCGTGGCGCTGCTGTGGTGTAATGGTGTTGCACACTGCACTGGACTTGCAAAGTTAGAGGTCGCCCATTTGATTTCATGGGAACGACAGTTAAAACAATGACCACGTTTCTTAATCATGCTGCTTCTGCCCAGTAAGCAGTGTAAATGGGTGCACCACAGTTAGTCTATTGGTTGGTCACGTGTTGTGGGATGAAGTGTGGGTACTTCTAATTCTTCCAAAGACTTCTGTCCCACGTGAAATAGTCGGCCAAATACCCTTGAGAATGTCTCTCTAGAGGGCTCGTGGAGTCCTTTCCAATGCATGGATATTGAACTTTTTTTGCACCGTATGTAGCCAACTATGCAAATCAGAGTTGTGTTTAGTGAGCTGGGGAACCTGGACACCTATGCGGCGCATCTCTGTGGGACACTAATGTTAAGTATGTGGTAAGCTTTAGATTATGCTGTAGCGTCCTATACAGGTGTGCAATTCAGGTGTCATACATGGGCCTCCCGTCGGGTGTCAGTGTGCCCTCCACCCCCTTCCCTCCCAACAACTTACGTCATGCAGTGGATAGGCTGCAGTATAGCAGCCATTTTCAATCATTTGGTTGATATTTAATATGTTCGTGCTGTCTTGTGGCATGGGGCTTTGCAGCATGTAGTGGACCTGTGTGAGCACACATGACACACATGACAAACATAACATGCATGAAACATAGGGCTGGGTGGGTAAGCTATTATTGACTCACTCCACTCTGAAATGTTTCCCCCTCTCCAACCACCACCAGCCTACACAGTTATAATGGGCCCACAACTCTTATTGAGTCCCTACTCGGAAAGGTCCATAGAACACCCCAAAAACTGAAGTAGATATGTACCGATTTCAGCAAGTACAATGTCCAAATTTCAAGGAGACATTTTCTGCATGCTTCCCATACACAAAGGCAATTTATTCAGAATACAAATACTTTCAAAACCCCAAATGCCCACAATATTGGCTCGACAGGATACCTGCTCACCAGGAACCATATCAACAGTAGTCTGTTATTCTTTTGTTGTGCAGGGGAGAGTGATTGAGGGGGCGTGGTTATATAATGTGGGCAGGACTTACAAAGGGAGGGGCTGCTAGCTCACCATGTCTCCTGGTTAAGCATCCCAAAAATTTGGTAGCTTTCTCTACAGGGACACATTACCACAACCCCTAAACCATAAATCCAGGCATTCTTAATAAACCATAATAATTTACACTTCTAACCACATGTCACTCAGAGATCACAAGTTGCGATACAGAGCTAAAAACTTTAATCAAAATGATAAAAACACGACAAAACCCTATTAAATTAACATGTTTTGCAAAAAAAACACCCCATTCTGGCATTATTCATACAGCATTATTGATACAAACGTACGATTTGGCTGCGTACGGCCGGTGGGATGAGGACGTCATGATTCTTTATAGGATAGATGTCCTGCTGCGAACGCCGGAAGGGTGCCGTGAAATAGTCCGGTTGTTTGGGCACGGCTCCCGGGTTCAGGTGGTGAATATTTCCCAGGTAGTGAAGAGGCCCACTGTCTGAGCCTGACACCTGGGGGAGGTCGCTCTCCTTGAGTGGCACCTGTTTGATTTTAAATGTATTAAACGCTTTGCCTCGAGCACATGGAATCATCATCATCAGCCAAAATCAGTCCACGAATGGTTGAAGGTCTCCCAAAGTTGTTGCAATCTGTACAAGTCCTATAATACAACAAGTCCTATAATACAAGTCCTATAATACAAGTCCTATAATTAAACAAGTCCTATAATACAACAAGTCCTATAATACAACAATTCCGATAATACAAGTCCTATAATACAAGTCCTATAATCCAACAAGTCCTATAATACAACAAGTCCTATAATTCAACAAGTCCTATAATACAACAAGTCTTATAATACAAGTCCTATAATACAACAATTAATATGCCAAAAGCCTCCACTACATACCCCACCCACTTTTCAAGTTGTCCCACCAATACCCCCAGTCATGAGCACACGCACATGAGCCAATCTTATCTCGCCATCTCTATGATATACATCATCTTGGGCACGTTCTCTCCTTCGGCTGCCACTCCAATGTCATTTTCGGCCAGGATACATCATCCCTTCAAGCAACGTGCCCTTCCCGAGCCCATTCACTTTTCTAAAAAGAGTCACTATAATGCTGCTAATATGCATATTTTTTACAAATGTACGTTTCTCTAATCCGTTTGTATATTTACGTCTCTTGATATCTCATGTCAGTGCTACAATTATTATCTTTGGACGTCATAAATTATAATCATCACAATCATCACCCTCACCATCATACTCTGTATAACATGCATGATCATCGCAAATATCACAACCATGTATCCTCACAAACATTATTATCATCACATTCATTATCACCATCATAATCACAATCATCACCACAATCATCATCACAATCATCAGTATCATCATCATTACAATGATCATCAGAATCTTGCCTGGATGTGGAGAATCTCGGCATAGGTGGTGAGTGGGTTCCATGGCGCGTGCACTTTGACAAAGGTGGTGCGTCCGCTCACCGACTCCTAGTGGACGGCACGAAGTTCATTGTCAGACTCTAGATGAGTGCGTTTAGTTGTATTTATAGTGGGTTCCACGGAGACTGGAGACGTTGTCTTTAGAGGCAATACGATTTAGTTGTAACTCTAAACCAGACTCCCCTTAACTCCCACTATCTAGGGAGGTACAGCCTCCGGGCTAGCGTGCCCTCACATTTAGTCAACCTGGCTCTTAGCCCTCCGGCTATCTGTGCCCTAGGGGAGGCTAACTGACCCGACCCAGCCAAGGTGCGGGTCCTAACTACTGGTCCGCGCTCGGCCCCGGCGCTTACAAAGACGTCGGGGCCCAGGGTCCCAGGGGCACCTCGAGCTGTGCTTGAGGTGCCCCTTTTATACACTTCCTGGGGACTCTCCGCCCCTGGTACCGCCCTCTTTCTGGAACTTTCCAGGGGGCTCTGGAAGAACCCCCCAACCCCTCACCTGGGGTCGGGGGGGGAGAACCCGGCCCCTCAATGGTCCGGCTCTTTCCGACCATCCCCAGCTCAGGGTGGCACCCCCTATGGGCCCGTGCCCGCAACTGCAGTTGAGTATTATACCGACGGTATAAGGTGTGCATTTCCGACGCTACATATTTATTAGACTTTGTTTGACCAGGTGAGAGTTCAAGGGAACCGGATGGTCTCATTTGGAAGAGTGTCCACGGCCGCGTGGATTTTCGTGCTTGTGTCACGTGTTGTTAGCACCTCGTGCCGATCAACGTGTGGCACAACCCAAAAGCAAATTGCATAATGTACGTGCAGTTATCGAACACTTATTACTACAGTATAAATAGCTGGCATGCCACATTAAGGTGGAGACTGTTATACCCTCCAGTATAAATGGGTAAGCCACAATTAATCCATCTTAAGATTGTGCATGGTGGGGTAAAGTATGGGTATTCGCTATCTCTTTCAAGACGTCTGGCAAGCATAGAAGAGTAGGCCATATACCCTCCAGCGGGGATCTTTAGCGCTCCTACTCAAGGAATGTATGCCAGCAGTGATATTATGAAGCAATCACAGTCTAACACCTTTTTATTTGTATACAGTGTCTGTCATCTATAGCAGAGAGACACGCAGGAAACTTACCTCCTTGGGTTCAATCTCGAGATCTAGCCCCATCTTCATCAGGCTTGCCTGATATTCGGTCCTCTTCTTCTGTCAAACAAAATTGACCATCTGTGTTATACATTGTTCTCAGTTGTGTCACTGTGGGAGTCAAGTCAAGAGGTGAGGAAACTTCTTGAACTCTTACAGTGAGTAGAGCCTCACATGGGAATCAATCAGAGAACGGCTCTGCAAAGTAGCATCACTGAACTGCTTCAGTCGGTGTCACTTCAGCAGACCTTAATAAAATAAAAATTTGCACAGCTCTTTGTCAATCAACTGTTTGAGTTCACCTTATTTGTTACAGGGATGGTCTCACTTAGCTAGTTGCTTTGCTATTTTACAAGGGAGATAGATCCATTGTGCGTGGGTACAATAGCAACAAAATAAACAAAAACATCAATATTGCAGAGAATGCATACTGGGTACTTCAGGAATATTGCACAACTAAAAAAGGCATTAATGGTCACAAACTAAACACACGTGAATCTGAAAAAGTTCAAACAATATGAGCAAGAAGTGGCAGAAAATGTTAGGTACAGGTGCAACTAAGCTCAGTGTTTTTGTTGAATAGGGACACAAATTGGGTGGTGAAGGGAGGGAACCCAGCTGCAGATGACTGGCAATGGTATTTCAGAAACGTTGAGCAGCAATGCAGAAATAATTATACCATATAAAGTTTTAACAAATGGGATGTTTAATAGGAGTAAGATATGTCATGCCACTGCTTAGCCTTGAACTGAATTAAGCTACATTGCAGAGTTCATAGTGCAGTGCGCTAACCAGTGAACCAGCACTCCTCCATCGAGGCCTCACACAGGACTTAACAGTGCTGCTTTAAGGAAAAATCACAATAACATTGATCGGAGCTCAGAAATTAAGCAGGATGGAGCCTGCTTAATAATTGGATGGGTGGCCACCAGACCTTGCAAAACGTTAATAGGCATTGTGATTGTGAGGTGTGGCCAGGAGATGGTAGTGCTGGGCATCGCCCTTATTCCGGCATCCTCCCACACCGCGCCAAACTCCCATTCATGGTATTGGCCAAATATCTCAATGTAGGGCCCTCCTATAAGATAATCTTGAGGCTCGCTGATTTTTTAACTGATTAAATAATTAGCACTGTTATAATAGTTTTCCATTTGGCAGTTAGAATGTGGATATTACATGTATCCTGTAAGTTATGTCTGGGTGTCGGTGTTTGCAATATGAAAGTGGTGTATTTATTTAGGAGTTGTGGATGGAGTGTGATACGTAACGATAATTGATTGTTGTTCGCCAAAGCAGTGAGGCGTATGGTTCAGGGTATGGATGTGCGAGTTGAGTGATGGGAGTCTAGCGTTCATTGACTAGCGTGGTCTGCAGTTGACGATACAGTTTGATAAAGGATGTATACTGTGGATTTAAAGACTCGTATGGAGGTGGCAGGGTGACTCAGCAGTCAGAGAGCTGAGCTGGCACCACTGCGTCAAACCTAGGTTTAGAGGCGTGTGGTGTTGCACGTGGGGAGGGGTGATAATGCTGGGTGCAGGAAGGTGGAGCATTATTTGTAGGTTCCTCGTTCTCACCTGATTGTTGATGGCGTCCTGAGAATGGACCTCATCATCGAACGCGAGGATGAAATCGATCCGACGGACTCCATCGCAAAAGTAGACAGTGTCCTACACGCAAAGGCAAGCACACACACGAATATGAGAGATGTAATAGCTTATGCATGAAATGTATATTTATTCATAAGCTCATGATACATGTATCAGGACATAAGTTAATCTGCTATTTGTATGCAAGTTGTTTATTGCTATGATGATGTACTAGTTTACCCAGGAAAACCTCAATGAGTTTACATTTTTATTTTCAAGGAGGGTCCTACCAAGTTCTGTTTTTTTGCAGTCGAGAACGAAGTTGCTTAGTTTAATTCCAATTGAATAATTTGCATGTATTTTTTCAGCATTGGTACGTTTGGCCAATACCAGTTACACTGTGTCATTTAGCTATGGGAGGAAACCAGAGACCTGGAGAAATATGTACACAAAGCATCTAGTCCCTGTGCATTATACAAAAAACATCAGTATTTTCTAAAGTGCATTGTGGTAATGCTATCTTAAACCACCATCAAAATAAAGTTGAGCAAATGTGACAGACTAACAGCAGCAGTGATGCAGTGATATGCAACTGTGGACCGGTGTAATCCTCATTCGGACTCATCAGCACAGTATAGTCACCAAAACGCACTGCTGCAAAGGCTGGAAATCTATAAATGAGGAGCAGCCATGTCTACACTTTGGGGCCCATTAGTTGGCGAATGCAAACAACAACTAAATCTGTAAATACCAGGAATCTCCCATCTTTGACATTAGCCAAGTTAATTTATAGGCTGTGCAAATCCACGTTGTGCCGCATCGTACCTGGGCCAGGGTAGATTGAAATGATGACGTCGAAAAGTCTTGTGGCACCGTTGAAGGCTGAGCCTCATGCCCCTCCGCTCCCTCCTCCTCATTCATTCTCTCCACGAGCTCTGCATAGGTAATGTGGGGGTAGAGGGTTCATTGCATTAGGGACAGGGGAGGCAGGTGCAGGGATGGGAATGTCGGTAAAGAACCGCACATGGTACTCATGTGTAAAGCTTTCTCATAAATGTCGACGCTGCTCCAGTGTGAGTACACCTGTGGTATAAAGTTGTATTACCATTAGGGGACTTTTACCCCATTGAATATCGTACACTTTAACAAAGCCGTGCCCAGCATGGTCAGACACAAACCAGGGCAAAAAATATTAGTTGGAATATGCAAAATAATTTTAGCCCTGACAGCTTGCCGGCTTCCATTCTGCTCATTAAATACTTCCCAATTCAGCACATTGGAGAGTGATACATAATGCCTCATTTAATTTCAGTCTGAAGATACCTTTGGTGTACCTTTCAGCAAATGACCCAACTAATTCAGGACGTTCTTGCCAACTTTTATCAGTCGGGGGTGACGTTGCTAATTTAAAAGATTAACAGTAATTTATCAGCAATGGGATGTTTGGCCAATGCACATGTATTGGGTTTACTCATTGTTTTTTCGGTAAAGTCACGTATGTAGAAGTACAATAAAATTATATTGAAACTAAAATATAATTTTATAATTATATTTTGTGGTATTTCTACATGTGACTTTACCGAAAAAAACAATGAGTAATTTTATGCAGTCACGAAAAGTTTAATTCTGTATTGGTTTTGTTTCTAACCTATGGGAAAACACAGAAGAATCCGTCAAAACTTGGGAGCTAAGCAGGTTTGAGCCTGGATAATTATTGGATGGGTATGTCTAATTTTTGTGATGTAGGGTCATTGCCCAAAATGTCGCCTTTAATGTTTATGTTTAAGGCTACAGTTATGTTCTTTGTAATTGTGCACTCCTGTCCACGCAGCAATTTCACCATATACATAAAACAGGTTGCTATAGGCTGCTGCGCTGATGCAATGTGTGCAGCAGAGGGCAGTGCACCAAAATCCATTGATGTAATTGTACTGTACTACTTCCCACCTTCACCAAACCCGGCGAGCGGCGGTGGTTATTAGAGGGATGCTGCTGATGGTAGTGTAATGTTTTTTTTGTTAGTTTGTTTAGCACCCGTCCTTCGTGCATATTTCATCTCAAAACGCTGCACAGTTGGTAATGCGTCCAATTTTCGCAATTGGGGAAACCTCAGGCCACGCGTGGAAGGAAGCCTGCACGGGCGCGAGCAACAATTGCCAAGTTCTGTGATCTGTCAGCAGGGGCGATACTTCCTGTGTACGTAATCGTAATTGATTAATTGATGGGCGATACAGTATTGTATTCCAAACAGGCAAATTTTGACCGTGACGCCAACATACAATAAACGACGCTTGCGAATGACGCAACGGGATCTTAACGTCCACTGTGAAGCAGAAGGCACGTATTTTAATGCTTAAGACAAACGGAGTATTAATCAGGGCAGTCACTGGATTCGAACCCTGGACCTCTGAGACAAGCGGTGAACGCGCTGATGCTGCAACAAAAGCCTGCAACGCGAACTGGATTCCCAGCCACGGCTAACATCACTGCTTTCCCTAGGTCGACTCAGCCTTAAATAAGTACCTGGTGTAACGAGTAAATATCACCATTGGGGAGACAAAGGCGGCCGGACGTGTTCTGGCCACACTACAAACCTCAGAGGTCTTAATAGTACTCACTAGCAGTCTTTACGACTATACGGGAGATCTATACAGCCGTAGAGCTCCTTTAAGATCTCTGCCCATACCCAAAACACCTTAACGCTAACACCAACATTAACCCAAACTTTAACTCGAATACAGCGCTTCGTCAATCCACTGCGAGAGCTTCCCTGTGACCACACAGATCATGGTGGTTATTTGACCACATTTCACCACTCTGGTTAATGTGGGTTAGTGAAGACCTATAGTATGTATAGTACAACCAATTTTGATGGACTGCCCTTTGCTGCCCACCATGTAGCCCGACACTACACTTTTAGACCTGGTATGCACTATCCTGGCTCAAACCCTGCTGAGCGTCCGATTAAAACACTGACGAGATCTCAATATTTAAAAGTGGCCCAAAGCCCCGTCATAGCACGAACATTACACTTTACCTATCTCAACAAATGTGGACATCATGAATCTTTGGTCTAATCTCAGATCTTGTGAGTTAGAACTCGGGGGCTCCTCATGCACAGCCAGCCAAGGATAACTCCCCGCTATAGTGACGTCACAGGAAAAGGACGTGACGTCACCTAAATATGGGCGTGGTCAAAAGCGGCCCCATCCCCCGCTCTTCCCGACCTTGCTTCCCCCCTTGCCGAGGTTACCCACATGAACAATAATAATAAATCATAGATGTACATTATGAAAGAATCAATTATTTTTCACAAAACTGCTCCTGTACGACCTTTTGCCAATCCCCTGCTGGAGAGCCTCTTGACGATTGCACGAATCGTGTTGGTTATTTGCACATACTTCACCATGCCGGTGAGTATGGGTTGGTAAAGGAAAAGGAGGAGCATTAACGTACAAACAAAAACCTATTTTACTAGAATGCCTTCTGCTTCCCATCATGTAGCCTGTAACACCTGGTATGCGCTATCCAGACTCCAACCTCCTTAACGTTAGATGGAGACATCTGGCACATCCCCAGCAGTTTTGTCTACAGGCTCAACATATAACACAAACACACCTCCCTAACACTAACGTTAAACTTTACCTATCTCGACGAAGGTAGACATCGTGAATCTTTGATTTTTTCTCGAATTCAGAGTCAGAAGTCAGGAGCTCCTCGCGTGCACAGCCAGCCCACGATAAAGTCCGACCCAGAATGATGTCACCGTGACGTCAGTTAAATATGGGCGTGGCCTGAATGTGGGTGTGGCCAACAGCGGCGGCTTCCCCGCCCCCCGCTGCCCCTCCCCGCAGGTTTCTCTCAACCCTCAGTGCGCATGCGCGGGCGGCATGTCTCGGACATCGCCTTCAGCGGCCGTTGGCGACGCGGTGGTTGTGGCGGGAAAATTAATAAAAAAAACTTCTCCGAATAACCGCGACCTTTAACTACCCTCACGGATAATCCACACGGATCTCTGGACGGCAAGGCGAAGACGATCAATGGAATAATCTCCGGTGAGAGACGGAGAGAGATGGGCAGGCGTGAGGGCGAGCCAGGTTCAACTTTGTTGAACGCTGAGCGCAGAGTGAATGGGGTTTATACTCTTTGGTTCTATTGGGTAAAGTCACGTAGGTGAAAATAAAATAACAATTTTCACCTACGTGACTTTACCCAATAGAACCAAAGAGTATGGATCCTAGCAGCCACGAAAGCTTTAAATCTAGAATTGAATGGGGTTTGCTTCACTTAGCACGCGACTTGGACACTTCGGTGTGCAAAGTGTTGTCTGGTTGTGCCGTGTAAAGGAGGAGGACATTCAGTAAATGTCGTTGGTTTGTTAATGGGAGTGTGTGGCGCGGTAATGGACTGGGTACGACTTACAACACAAGTTCTGCTCACATTGCACGCTAAGGGTTAGCACGGCGATTACTACGTGTGCATTTATTAGTTATTGTTTATGTTAAAAGTAGTATTGATTGTTAAGACAATAATGTTTAGTATTTGTAGGTGAATCATTTCAATATTGTACAGTATAGCATTGTCCTGCTGTGTGGCTCTCACGTGGCGAGCATCAGTGCAGCAATATTCAGTACGTGGTTGTAATGTACTTCTATAGCCCCCTGCCACCAGTGCAGCAATATTCAGTACGTGGTTGTAATGTACTTCTATAGCCCCCTGCCACCAGTGCAGCAATATTCAGTACGTGGTTGTAATGCACTTCTATAGCCCCCTGCCACCAGTGCAGCAATATTCAGTACGTGGTTGTAATGTACTTCTATAGCCCCCTGCCACCAGTGCAGCAATATTCAGTACGTGGTTGTAATGTACTTCTATAGCCCCCTGCCATCAGTGCAGCAATATTCAGTACGTGGTTGTAATGTACTTCTATAGCCCCCTGCCACCAGTGCAGCAATATTCAGTACGTGGTTGTAATGTACTTCTATAGCCCCCTGCCACCAGTGCAGCAATATTCAGTACGTGGTTGTAATGTACTTCTATAGCCCCCTGCCACCAGTGCAGCAATATTCAGTACGTGGTTGTAATGTACTTCTATAGCCCCCTGCCATCAGTGCAGCAATATTCAGTACGTGGTTGTAATGTACTTCTATAGCCCCCTGCCACCAGTGCAGCAATATTCAGTACGTGGTTGTAATGCTACTTCTATAGCCCCCTGCCACCAGTGCAGCAATATTCAGTACGTGGTTGTAATGCACTTCTATAGCCCCCTGCCACCAGTGCAGCAATATTCAGTACATGGTTGTAATGTACTTCTATAGCCCCCTGCCATCAGTGCAGCAATATTCAGTACGTGGTTGTAATGTACTTCTATAGCCCCCTGCCATCAGTGCAGCAATATTCAGTACGTGGTTGTAATGTACTTCTATAGCCCCCTGCCATCAGTGCAGCAATATTCAGTACGTGGTTGTAATGTACTTCTATAGCCCCCTGCCACCAGTGCAGCAATATTCAGTACGTGGTTGTAATGCACTTCTATAGCCCCCTGCCATCAGTGCAGCAATATTCAGTACATGGTTGTAATGTACTTCTATAGCCCCCTGCCACCAGTGCAGCAATATTCAGTACGTGGTTGTAATGCACTTCTATAGCCCCCTGCCACCAGTGCAGCAATATTCAGTACGTGGTTGTAATGCACTTCTATAGCCCCCTGCCATCAGTGCAGCAATATTCAGTACATGGTTGTAATGCACTTCTATAGCCCCCTGCCATCACCAAACTCACACTGACCAGCGTGGTGAAGTATGGTAAATAACCCCTCCCCCTGGGAGCTGCATAGCATGGGACAGCTGTCAGCCAGCAATGGATTTAAAAAGGAGCTGTACTCCGCACACATTCTTATTCAGGGTAGGGTAAGGAACTTGGAGGTTCGGTACGCATAATGTGCTCGGAAAGTATTGTATTCTGTATGTGTGTTGAACCTCTTTCGCATCGTACCAAGCCCACCGTGCTCTTCGGAGGTGCGATAATATATAAATATAAGTAGTCATACTACTGTAATACCACTTAATATTTAGCATTCATTGTATTAGTAGTACGGTAATTTTTTTATATGCAGGTGTGCATGCCAAACGTTAACCAATGTTAAATGTTAAGCCTTCTCTTTTGAATACAGTGTGTTTTAAACATGGAGTTGTCTCCAGCTAATTCTTAAATGTATATCATTCATAATGTAGTAGTAGGCAGGTAGTGCATTTATGACACTTCAATTGTACATAGAGCTTGCAGGTGTGATGAAGGAAACCATGGGAAAGGCTGGAATTTTTGTTGAAAAAAGGACAACAGCCACAGTAGCTTAAGAGACCTAACGCGAAGTGGTCGACACTGGCCCATGCGATCGCGTTGTGACGTCGGACCCACTTTCCGCACACAGCAGCTCCTCATGGTGCCCCCCATACCAGGACCAGTGGTGACCTGGTAGCCACAGCCATTCCTCTCCCTGGCCCCATCCGGTCCGGGCATCCCAAATCGTACAAAATGTACTGCAACGGTGGTGAGACAAACAGCCCTTCGGGCGACAGCACGGTGACGGACACAAGCCCTCGCGGCAGCCTGGGCAGCTCGCTGCTCCGGACCGGAAGCGGGGGCTAGCGCAGCCCTGTGGTGTGCGGAGAGCAGTGCTGCTCGTAGGCGAGCGGTGCGCTGGACGCCTACATCGAGGACTTTGAGCAGAGCGGAATCTGTGCGTCACCGCCACCCAGGATACGTGCAGAGCACAGCGCCGCGCAGCATGGCGGAGCGGAGACGCGCGGAGGAGAGGAGGATGCGCAGTGTGGATGAGGGTGGGTTGCGCCTCTCGCCACGCGAGGAATCGCTCCGTGGTGCTTGCGCTCGAGTGGCTATCGAGTGTGCAGGCGGTGCAATGGTATCGAAGCTGGTTACTTATACTGGGTGCTTGCCAAGTATGCTATGCTATAATGAATGTAATGTAATTCCCCGAGAAAAAAAAAACCCTTAATGAGGTCTAAAGAGACATTTTCGTGAGAGTCCCACACTGGGATGCTTTGCAAATTCCATTAATGAGTTCATTTCATGTCAGAGAAAACTATCCACAGTAAGCACACGCATATGAGAGGATAGCATAGGTCTGAACAGATAGGTCCATGCATGCATTTTTTTTCTCCTGTCATCTTCCAGCGACTTCACTGATTATCGAGTTTTTAAAGTTTGTGAAATCTAAGTGATCCTCCAACCTTTGTGTCAAAATTTGTAGATCCTAGACTGCACACATATCTGAAGTTTAAACAGTAACAGCTCATGCACTGATTTAGCCCATATTCTTGACTTTTTTTCACAAACTCCACAAACGGATAACGTAATTAGTTACTGATGGCGCAAAGTAAGGCAACATTGCAGGATTGCCTTTCAGGGGTCAAGGAATCTAGGGGAGGGCAAATTCATTGTGTACCAGTAAAATGTCTATGGGTCTTACGTTGCAGGTGGCACGCTGCTTGTGGAAGACCTCATCTCGGGCACGTGCAGCCTCAATGCCACGCTGCGCTGCAGCGGTCGTGGCTCAGAGCCCGACGGTCAGAGTCTAACCACGGACCAGCTCCTAGCAGCGCCAGCTGACGGTTCCTCCATGTCCTTGCTCCGCTCGCACAGAAACAAGCGGTCATCTCTCGGGGTCACCGCACACAGCCTCGGCGCATCATTGGTGAGGGGCAATAAGCCAACTGAACGGTTGACCTCAACATCGAGAAGCAACAAGGCTCTGACGCCGTTAAGTTTGTCGGCGAAGCCCAAAAAGACTTTATTTTCTAACCAGAAGAACGTTTTGTCGTACTTACGGAGCAGTGAAGAAACGAGGCGTGAGCGCTTGCCGAGCGGTGGCGGCGGCTGTGCGACAAGTACCTATCCCAGGTGGTTGACGAGCCAAAAGGATGAGCTGGATGTGTCCGGGATCACGAGCATTCCTGAGCTCAGGTACCCAGCCTGGCTGCGTGACTGCGATGTGGACTCCCAGACCAGCAGCCACGAGACGGATACCAGCACGAAGAGAGCAGGTGCCACTCAGAACCCGCAAAGCAGACCAAAGTACCCAGAGTGGCTCAAGGATTTGGACATCTCCGGCCTGACGAATGTAGCCAACAAGGAGCCTGTGTCAGAGGACCTTAGATCCCTGGCTCGCAGTCACGAGCGACATATCAAGGCCCTCGTGAGCGACGCTGTCGCGGAAGCATTTGGTTTGGCGGAAGACGCATCGACTGTCGATGATGAGGGAGAGCTCACAGTGCGGAGCGTCAGGGAGAACCCAGCGCTGCTGGAGCTGTTCCAGGCCAACTCGGCACAAAACAGTAAACCACTAACGGAAACGGGTGAGTGCAAAGGAAGATGGTATTTACTGTGTTATACCATTAGCACAATAAATTTGTATATCAACTTATCATTATTTTACAAACATTTAAATGATCATTGGTAATCAATATGAATGGTAAAAATAAACAATTTACATCCCTTTGTTAATCCACTGCCGTACTGGTCAGCGTGGGTTGTTGAAGGTGAGCCCAGGACCCGTTCACCTATCACTCGCTACTGACATTGGCTCTGACCTGAAATCAATCTCAGATTACCAGGTCCTTAGCACAATGCATATATCACCCTGCCACTGCATCCACCGATATACACATACATTTTAAACAAAGTAGAAACCAAGCATGCGTATGTGTGTGTGTATATATATAGTCTGTATATAGCAGATGACATTTCATATCTTTTTAGGTACATATTCAGTCTTTTCTTACAGAGACGGCCGAGTGGCCACCCATGTGGTTGTGACGTGCGATGCGTGATTCTTAATGCACAGCCTCATTGGAGGAGCTGCTGAGCAGGGCGCGCATGGCATTGGACTCCTCCGGCTTGGAGGCCCCCTCCCCGGGCAGCGTCAACACGGACATCTTCCTCGGGGCTGATCGTCCCTGGGAAAACCCCTCCACGCCATTGTGAATTTATCTTTATATTCACACTCACGCACAGCATAGAGGCTGCACTGCCTCTAAGTATGATGTCAGATTTTGAATGTTATAAGCTAAGCAGGTAAGCTTGGTTATTACTTGGATGGGAGACGATTTGGGAATAGTATATATTATAGATTTTGGCTGCTAGGTAACCAGGAGTTAGTAATACAGCAATGGAATCTTGAATCTATTTGCGGAGTTTTGCATTTTACTTCCTCTGTTTTCACCGGGTTCTCTGGTTTCCTCTCGCATACCACTCGCTGATGAAATTTGCAAAATATCACTGCCAAACCCTCCTGAGATTTGGTGAGATTTTTCTGGCTTCCACCATGATAAGTCAATTCCACCCTTAGATAAGGGCTGCCGATGGAGATGAACCCATGCTCATTCGAGCAGGGATCCACTTTAATTGGACTCATCCATGGAAAATGTTCAACCAGGAAAAACTCCTGTGAGATGAAAAATCCTGTTTTCACAGGTATTTTGGAGCATTTGACAGAGAACGCGGCTGTAACAGATACAATTACACAATAATTACAACACTGTTAAATCACAGAATAAACAAAACATTCACATTTGTAATGCTCTAAGCCAAGAATCCCCAAACTGCCACCGACTGCTGCGAGACACGTATCAATCCACCTGCCCCATTGATTTGTCACAATTCGAGGTTGCGATTCATTCCATAATTTTTTTTACTTTGTGGTGAATGCAGTCACTGCAGGGGTTATATGAACCCGTTATATATAACATATACGAATAAAAAATATCCATTACGCAACTTGATACAATTGCCGTGAGCATGCGAATCTATTTTATTCAATTAAGTGATGCATTGTGTTATGCATGTATTACATATTTACCGTTCGATGCATATAATGTATTGACCTAAGTTGCTTTTTATTGAAGAGAATTGCCAGATGTGGCACAGTGGCTATAGAAGAATGAATGGTGCGTGAGCTCATGCTTTGCCAGTGTGTTCTCTCGGCAGTAAATTACCGGTCCATGTCCATTACGCTGACGACCCTGGCGAGGAGGGATTAGCATCGGCAGCTACCAGCTCTGACTCCAAGAGCATGAAGGTAGAGAACAACAGCATTCATTGGTGATTTTAGGAAATTAATCAAGAAAAAAAGCGATAGAGGGTTTTATTTAGCAGTTATGTACCTAAGCAGTGTGCTTGGGGCTGTCTGATGTGCGCCCGAAGCTTTATTATTGAGAAAAAAAGTTCAAGTAACAATCGTGTGCCTCATACCATTGTAGCATTCTAGTGACATCACTGTGATGACACTTACGTATATTTCACTCTGAACTCAATGCTCTGGTATCATACCAGTGCCTGACCCTGATTTTATAGATTTTTCTCAAAGGGTGCCTCGATAGGCCAGGTCTACAAAGTGAGGTTTTATATTTCTCTCTTATTCACAGTTTTATCCCAGTTGTGCTGTGGGCGTCCTGTCTTGAAATGAAGTATCCTTTAAAATATCTTGGAGGGCATTGCAACCTGTCGTGCTAGAGAACGGCACATGGAAGTGAATGGATAACCCTTCAAATTGTCTGGTCCACACAGTAGAGGGGAGCACTTTCATGGCAGTCCTTTAGTCATCCACTCTGCCACATGAGAGTAATTTTCATTGCAAGATAATCAAACTAATATTGTCATTCGCAGAGCTCTATTATTCATATCTGGATTCGAATTAACGAGGTCCATTTAGTAAAACTACACAAACTCTCTCTTGAAGCCCTCTTATGGCTAACAAACCTCGACATTGTTACATTGCTTTTATAGCTTTATTTTGGTGATTTCGAAAACTATTTGGTTTAGCCATATTTGTTTGTTGTAGTACAGAGTTAGACTGATAACTTTAATCTAAATTGTCTTATGGTTGTTTTTGTTTGACTTGCATCCCACTGGTATTTTTGCACACAGCATTGATATACGGTGCTTTTTCTGGAAGACTTTGCTGCTTTGACTGGATTTTTCTGTTTGCGCGTAGTCACTTTAAGATGTTTCCTGTTCATGTTTTTGTTTGTTGCGGTTGCACCCAATTCAAGAGCCGAATGGCTCACAGGGCTATACCAAATAAATAAAACTGAAACTGAATTTAGCTCCTAAACATATTGCTGTTTTATCCAAATATATGCTGAACATATTTTACTTGATGGGTTTTTTTGTGCAGTCATTGGTGACCGGGAAATACCGCAAACTTACTACACTTTAAAACCCACTAATCAGAGGTGATTGTTTGGATTTGAACCCAGGGTCTCCGCAGTGCCAGTTCAGAGCTCTGATCTCTGAGCCACCCAGCCACCTCCCCCAATAAACGAGATGTTTATTTGGTTGTGCCTTTAAGAAAACTGCTTTTGATGAATGCCGAGACAGGTTGAAACCACTGGCCTGACCCGGAGGCTCCACCCGGGCCCTGTGGAGGCATTGAAACAAATGCTGTTCAGGCTGCAGAGCGTGCAGCTGGGGACACCTGCAGAGGACACTGGCAGTGCTGGCACGCAGGTAAGTTCAAACGTTCTCCACCGCTATTGAAGAGGTCCCACAACCACACAATCTATCGTATCCATGTTGCGGTAAACTCATAGCAGCCCTTTCGTCATTGTCGGATGAGGGCCTACCTACACCATGCAGGTTGTGAAAGTTATTTAACCACACCTCACCATGCTGGTCAATGTGGCTTGTGGAAGGCAGGGAGCATTGATGCAGGAGTATCAAAGTACAGTAAAACATTTGATTTTTCTGCACTGCCCTCTCCTGCCCACCACATAGCACAGTGGCAGTCTATAACTACCTATTTTGCATAGTGGTCACCCAGCAGAGCTTAACTTCAGAAATTTTACAAGATCAGGCTAATTCTGGGTGACTTAGTTGTAGGTCTATGACAATACAGTATGGGACAGAAAGTAATGTATTGCACACGTAGCCAATGCTGATGAGTATTGTGCAGGTTGCTCTGAACCTTTTTACATTCCCGTTTTACTTTCCCAGATTATGGATGAGGCAGCATCTCAAGTTGACTTGCCTGAGTTTGAGTCAGTACCAGGTGGAATGTCTCTGCAAAGGTATTGTGTTCACGTTTCACTTTAAGCCAAACATTTGACTTGCAGCTTAATTTTCTTAAATCAGTATTGAAAATTAGATACTCTAATGGCTATTGTGATTGCATTTGTTGAGTTATGACCTGTTCCACAGATAAAATGTTTCTTACTGGCAAGTCGGTTCCTTATTTAAAATGTATACTGCATTCTTGTGTTATTTATTGTCAAATATTCTAACACCACTGCTAGACTTCCTTTTGTCAGACATCCTCTGTGCATCTCATAATCCACCCAGCACATTATGTTAGCAGCAAACATGTATTCTGGCTGGTGAACCAAGTCATTTTCTCTCAATAATCGTGTCCCTTCTCAGGGCCCTGTACCACCTGTCGCGTCTGAAAGAGCTGGTTGACACCATCAAGAAGAACAAGGATGGTTGACTACCCGTGATGTAGAAAGCCCAAAAGCATTTTATGGCGGTGGTCGAGGTTTATCCTTAGAAGGATACGTTCGCTTGGTCCTCCTGCTAATTCATGGTTGTTAAACATCAACGGTACTCCAGGTTCTGTGGTGTGAATCGCAATTACTTGTGAACTTGTGGGGCCCATGGGGCACAGTAATTGTCCTGTTAAAGGAAGTGCCACAACAAAGTATTGGAAAAATGTGATGAAGTTCGTTTAGGGTTGGAGTTAGTGAATGGTTCTAGCAGTATTTTGCACAGAAACGCCATACAGACTCAAACGTCACTTGAAAGAACGGATATGTGAACAATATTGTGAGTACAACTAAACCAATTGTGGTGTTAGCCATTTTGTAAGGAGCCTACTTTATTGGGAACATACATGCTAGTATTTGTGTAGTTATAAACATTTGGGAAATCACTGTAAAAGTACATTTGCTTATTTAGATTGCACTATACCTGTATTGTAAAATTTCAGAACCTTTTACGTAATTTGTAATCAATAAACCAAAGTTGTATATTGTATGCAACCCATGACTTGGATTGTTTTTATCATGTCTTGTTTAGCATGGTTGGTTATGTACAGTGTGAAAGAAATTCAACATACCTTAAATATTTTCTGATATTTGAATGTTTTATATTGTACATGTATATTTATTTTACAATAAATCTGAGACAAAGGCTTATACACATGGAAATGAAAATATTCAGCTATGATTTGTATTTCTCACGTATTTCAAGGAAAGTCGGCGAGTCTCGTGACATGTCTTCACATTTGGGGGTGACGATTGCGATGGATATCCAAGCATTAACCTGCTTACATTCCTCGAGTATGGTGAATTTGGGCATTCTGGGTGATTGGGTTTTAGGCCAAACACAGGCAGATGGTTGGGATTAGATGTTTTCAAGCATCTATAAATTATTCATCGGCATGTACTATCTTACTATGATGTAAAGTTCAAAAACATGGTTGTTCATGAAGGGAGTGGAATAAAAACTCAACCGTGCACAAGTATGGAGGAATTTTGATTTAAAGCTTTCGTGAATGCAGTAATTCATATTCTTAGTTCTTTCGGTAAAGTCACGAAGGGAAACAACAAAGACGACCGTTTGTGTTATGGTCGAAACGTCGTGAGAATTTTTATTGTTTTATATATATTTTATTATTTTGTTGTTTCCCTTCAACGTGACTTTACCGAAAGAACTAAGAATATGAATAAGTATGGAGGAATTAATACTTGGAATTCAATGCAAAGATCTGGCCATATGGCGTTTACTGGGCACCAGGGTTGCCAAACAACACATGAAAGATGTGTATCAGGCACAGCCTCTGCATTATGAAAAAAATATCACTTCCTGAAGAAGTGCATTTTGCTTCTCCTGTCTTAGGTCACCATCAAAATAAATGAGAGCAAATGTGACTCGACTGACAGGCAGCATTTATATTTGTGTAGTGTCCTTCCGGCGTGTGTGTGTGGGGAGCGATAGCGCGCTGCGCTATGAACCTGGCGACCCGGGTTCGATTCCCGCTCACGGACAACACCAGTGACGATTATTTGAACCGGTCCTGGGACTCCCCTAGGTCGACTTAGCCTCAAAATGAGTACCTGGTGTGGTGTGTAAACATCGCCACTAGAGAGACAAAGGCGGTCGGGCGTGGTGCTGGCCACCCACCCGCTTGTGTACCCCGGCCTTGATAAGTGCTCGCTAACAGCACTTGCCCCTACAGTCTGTTAAGGCTATATGGGGGATCTATGGTGTGCGTCGCACACACTGTCGGAGACGAGGTAGTTGCGGGAGGCATCGTCTCTCTTTATTATCTTGTTCACATCAACTCCGGCTGCCTCTTGACCACGCTGCCGTAGAGCCCGGCCTAGACACGACCCTGTCCGTGTTGCACCGACGGCGTCGACTGAGATGGCCAACTCCTGTGGCCACACAATGATCGGGCGAAGGCGGTGGCAACGACAGCGACGACGAGACGAGTCCACTCCCAGAACCAGAAGCCCGGAGCTCTCGCTCTCCGCTGCTTATATTCTACTCGGCGCGGCTTGGCTCCGCTCTTGCTGCGCCTCCCTCCTCGAACCCACCAGAGGGTTCCAGAGGCCTCCCTATGAGGTCTTCCGTGACTCTTGCCCCAATTCCTCTGCCCGGCCGGCACACCCGTATATATGCTCAACGGTGTGTGCACAAACTGTCCACCGCAGTTGCCGCTGCTGGACAGCAGTTGGCGCTGTGTCACTACACTTGTATCAACACAATTACATAATCACATTTACACTTATACAAGAGCAGTTGTATGAAGAACGATTGCACTTAATGTTGGTTATGTGCAGCAGGCATTGTCAGATTTATTATAAAGCAAGTAACATGACAAAGGCATCAAATAGCAAAAATACAGTATTAAGTATAACATAAAGTACTGAAGGCACTTAAACTTGATTATTTTTACAAACGACTAATGGCAACTGGTAATTACAGGCAAGACAGAACAGTGACAAGTACATAAAACTGCACGATCATACTGTTGAGTCACTGTCAATGGGTTTCTTAGCCTAATGAGCTTTACTCTTTGGTTATTTTATTTTTCTACCTCTGTGATTTTACCGAAATAACCAGAGTATGGATTGCTGCAGTCACAAACACTTCAAATAAAGATTAATGAGCTTTATATAGCGCTTTTAGAAGTAGAGAACCCATGTGCATGTACAGCCCTTTTGTCAATCCACTGCTGGATGAGGGCTTCCCCACACCATGTGTGTCATGAGGGTTATTTGACTTGACTTCAGCACGCTGGTTAGTGCGATGGCTGTATCATGTCGTCCGCATGCCCAGCCACCACATGCCCAAGCAGCTTCCGTTTGGCTGAACTGAGGCAGCTAAACGTAAAGGTGTCAAGATCGACGTCTGGAGCAGGCTCGTGAAAGGTGCTCCTGGGCAGCTGGATCAGCGCGGGTGGTGCATCTGTCAACCCATGGAACCTGGGTCTGTCCCGTGTCCTGCCAGAAAGCCTTTGACATCACGTGGCATGAAGGTGCACCTAGTCTGGCAAAAGCGCCATGGTGATGCCACTGCCACTTAGTGGCGATTGCGGTTGTTAGTAAAGGTCGGGAGCATGGCTGTTGAACCATAGTACAGTATAATGGATTTTGCTGCGGTGCCATCTGCTAATTCCACATTCAATTAGGCATTGGAAATCCAATCTTGATTTGAAGCTTTCGTGACTGCAGGAATCCATACTCTTTGGATCTTTCGGTAAAGTCACGTAGGTATAAAATAAAATAAATCACGTTTCGGGCGCAACACAAGCGTCCGTCATCAGGTGGGAAAGCATGGCCTGCTGCTGATGCAGCATGCTGATGCAGCATGCTGATGCATGGCTTGCTGCTGATGCATGGCCTGCTGCTGATGCAGCATGCATCAGCAGCATGGCTTGCTGCTGATGCATGGCCTGCTGCTGATGCAGCATGCATCAGCAGCAGGCCTTGCTTTCCCACCTGATGACGGACGCTTGTGTTGCACCCGAAACGTCGTGATTTATTTTATTTTATACCTACGTGACTTTACCGAAAGAACCAAAAAGTATTGAAAATCCACTTTATGGCTGTAATCAGTCCTGGTATCGACTGCCTTGGTTGGCAAGACATCTCTGGGAAGTTTTTGTATGTTTCTCTTGCCATAATTTAAACTAAGCCTTCAATATTTGCAATATTTTCTCTGAGACATCACAGAATTTGCAAAACGTAAAGAGGACGTGGCTGATTGGGCAGTGTCATGAGATCATCATAGCCAGTGTTGTTGACGGCACCAAATTTTGCAATTAATCTCTTGCCAGATACCTCAACTTTTATACAATATACCCCCAACATTTATAGTCCATTCTTAAAGTATCCCATTATCTGGCTTCAGTTTTCTCTATGGTTGCCTACCTCTTGATATCCATTCCAGTGCTAGACAATGTGATTAACTTGATACGCACACATAAACTCTATAGTCACAGTGTAGTATTTACAAGCCAAGCATGCACAGACCTAGCCATAACACGTGCCGGGTTTAACACGGACAACTCATGCCCTTTTAAAATATTTCAGAATGCCCTGCGGGCTCTGCAAGCCGCCCACTATCGCTGCTCCTGTCTCACCACTCTTTTGACAACCGGGTTGCGTGGAAATAGCCGGACCCCTCCATGATGCAAACAGCTCCTCCTGCAGCTCGGCGGGAAGCTGGGTGAATACCTGTGGGTCCACGTCTGCAGGCAGCGAGCTCAACTCCAGGAGTTCCACTGCACGTGACCGCTCAGACGGACTGCGTGCTTCACTATCAGACAGTTCATGAGATTCCCCAGTGTGTTGATCGTTTGTGGATGAAACTGCCAAAACACTGCGGGTACTCATCGCGACTCCAAATGTAGTTTCTGCAATTGTTAAGTCTTTGTCTGAGCCCAAATGCTCCGTTTCGAAATTTATGTCAGCTGTGCTTGCTGCCATGTTAGGTAAATTTACTCTTTTGGCAGTCACGTCCAACTGCTGTGCTGTTTGTGCGTCGTTTGTGCTGCTTTCTGAGACAGAACGCTGCAAGTCGGCGAGGACTTCTCTCCGTATGTTGGACGGCAGGGCGTGGAAGACGCTTGCGTCTATCTCGGGAGGGAGGTCCGGCTCACTGACCTGGGTGTTCGCTGCAGTGCTGGCCTTTGTTGGGGTGGATGAAGAAGTCCAAGCTGCTCCTGCCGCTCTACTCGCAGAGCTCTCTTGAAAGATATCACGTAGAGTCTTTTGCCTTTTGTTGGGTCGACTGTGACCAGAAGTTTTGGGCACACGATTATGAGTTCTCTTCACCCGAGGTTCGTCATCTTTTTGTGCAAGACTAACTGCAGGAACACGGAGCTTTACATCACTAGTAGATGCAGCCTGACTGAGGCTGTTTACTCCTGAGGTGAAGAAATCTCCGATGGATTTACTACAAACGGACTTGATTGCTGCCGCACCCAGCTTGGAGAAGCAGATGTTCAAGAGAGTCAGGTGGAATGGCTTTGCCACATCAATCATCTTGTGGAAAAGCTTAATCAGCACTTCCAGAAGGGGCTCTATAACTTCCAAGACATCTCCTAATTGAAGAACATCAAGGGAAAACATTGTGCGTTTTAGTGTTTGTTTCACTCTTAAACTTTACTTTTTACTTTCCAGAATGAAGAACCATGTTAGCTCCCATGAAGATATGAGATATCCCTTTTGCAAGCAAGGTCTGGGTACAAACTATACAAGGAAACATTTTTATTATTTTTTCTATTTTGGACAAGTTTATAATTTGAGGTGTGCTAAAGAAGCAGCACCCCCATGGGTGAGCGAGTGAACTCATGCAAATGGATTTTAGCGGTGAGCAGAAACAGTTTGTCACCTGCGTGGAAGCGGAGGAAGAGGTGGGCCGGTACGGGACACTGGCGGCTCTCTCGGATGAAGTAGCGCTCAATCCCCGGTGTGAAGCGGCGGAGGCTGAGCCTGACCGTCCCAGGAACGCGCCCATCCTTCCGTAGCCTGGAAAGACAACTGCCCATCAGTGTTTGCCAAGTGGCACCATGTACCAATTTGTAAATGTTCTACGATTTTACAATTTTTTTAGTGACCTTGGCAGCAGGTTGCCTAGAAGCTCTCTCATCTTTTCCACAACCTCCTCCTTTGTGGAGGCCTTTTGGAAGGAGTCCTCATCGCTCAAAGACTGGAACGAAGCAAGAACATTGGCAATGACCAAAAGGTTGTTGACAGTGACGAATGAACAGTTATTAAAATAAATGTAACACCAACAAGAGAACAGATAGGTTTAAGTACTTATTCTAAGCTCATGGTGGATGCTCTAGTTGTGAAACTCATTTAGAGGCCCAAATATAAAAGCGCAAATTTATTATGTACGTATATTGAACTTCTTTTGCACCATATGTACGTAGCCAACTGTGCTAATCGAAGGTGCGGGAAATGGTGTATGCAATGCCCGACTGTACAATGCCAAATTAAATGTTGGAAAAACCAGTGGCATAGTTGTCAATTGTACAAGTGCAGCAACTGCACCTCAGCCCATGGGTTTGAAGCCCATGTGCTCTGACTACTAATAACGGAAGGCAGAGAGAAGCCCTGTTGCATTCCTTGCACCAGCACCCATATCACCCATGCTACATTAATGGTAAAAAGGTGTCAAGCCATATGCATCGTCACAAACTAAACAACGACAATGAATGCTGCTGATGATTTAATATTGCACCTGTGGGGGACCAGTGGGCAGCACAGGAGAGTTGTCCTCCCCACAGCTGAGATTCTTCACAAAGGTGGCTGTGGAGGAGCCCAGCGCTTTCTCCAGCACCTCGACGGGACATGAGCGTAGCGCCTCCATGCTGCCGACACCCATAGCTTCCAGCTTCTGACTGGTTCTGTAGCCAATGCCTGTCGGGAATCCCGCACACGTCGCGTGCATATAGCAGCTGGCACGTTATCACCATCAGTGCAGAAGAGCCAGATACTTGTGAAGTGATAAGCGATATAAAATTCAAAACACCGTGGCACAGTGCATTCTCTTAACATGTGTCCACGTTCACATTCACTGGTATATGATTATTTTCAGTTTTCAAGTGTGCATTTACGAATAGAGGATATCAGAAAATTATTCTGACGGTGTAAAAACAATGTCAGGTGTTCCAAAAAGTTATAAGGTTTAACGGTTCGAAATATTTGTGACGTAGGAATTTGTCCTTTCCATGCTGACCAGGACATTGCGCAACACAGCTTCACCACAACGTCCGATAATCAACCAGCTAAGCCACATTGTATCATGTCATTCCAAAGCCCTTTAAACTGTGATGGCGGTGTCTCTCCAATTTGTGACCAATGTAAAGGATAACAAAGCATTTATTTCATTACACAAAGCAAACCCGGCTCTCTCTGCTTTCGACCAATGATGCATTCCCCAACCTGTCAGCTGCTTGGGGTGGGTGAGGTGCCCGAGGAGGCTTGCCATGCCCTCGGGCAGCAGGACGGTCTGCTGGTTCGGCTTGTGTGCCGACCCTACCAACTTGGCCGCCAGCTTGTTGTGGGCGATCCCCGCACAGCTCGTCAGGCCCAGCCCGGACAAGAGGCAACCCCGTATCTCGGCTGCCAGCACTGAGCCCATGGCCAGCTGCACGTGGTGGGGAATGCTCGCGTCCAGGCCTGGGTCAGTAGGGAATCGAGCCAGAGATAAATTCACTCACTTCTCTCTGTCTTAGCTGTTCAAGGTCAAGTTTTAATATTGTTTAACCAGGTCCGACTGCAAAAGACCAGGCCAGTCTCACGTGCAAGAGTGATCTGGGTCACCAAAATTAAAAAAGCAAAACAAAATAATGTGCAGCAACGAAGCAAATAGAAATCAGAGCTAAAAATATATCTTTTACCATCTAACTACTCAACAAAGGTCTCACCCAATGCCGACCACTCTTCATGCTCCCTTACCACCACTTTATATATACTTTAACTTATATAATTTATCTATTTTATGTATTTATATTTAGTTATTTTATTAATACAAAACTCCTACCGTGTTTTGTATTGTTTGTTGTTGTAACTTTCTGGCCGGCCCTACTGGACATCTGTGAAAAAGAGCTTCATAACTCATCAGATATGTCCATGGTAAATAAAGATTCTGATTCTAATTCGAAATCCAGTGCACATCTCTCTTTCTCTTGCCTTCAATTTGGCTTCCATTCTATTGTTAATATTGCCCATCTGGCATCTGATATGTGAGCTAGATTCCCTTTTCACTTTGTAGAATGCATCAGTTAGACTTGTCTTATCGCTCAAAATTTTCATTTGAAAGATATGGCTTAGGTGAACAAATGTCACGATTCGCTTTCATCCATTACAAGTTAGGTTGAATAAAGTAGTGCCATCATTGCTGGTAGAAGAGGGGGGGGGGGGGGTGGGCTCACTCAAGTCATCGTAGACGTGTCCCTCCACTCGGGGGGGCTCCTGGCAGGTCGCCCCTCGTCCCAGCCGCCTGTGCACCAGCTCAGTGACGTCCACGTAATTCTCATCGAATCCCAGCCTTTCCACCAGCGGGCTGAAGCGCTCCAGCAGCTCTGGGGAGACCGACGGGTATGGTCACATGGTTCGTAACTCTTCGATCGTCCAAGGTCTGTTTACAAAGTTCCTGAAGATTGGGAGAGATGAAAACAAGTACCGAATACACACGGACTAATATGGATGGATAATTAGCATCAGCCATGGTCAATCCAGTAATGGATGAAGGATTCCCCAACCCGCCGCCATCTCTCATGACCCTGCAATATAATAATCCATCTAGCACCTGCACATGAACTAATTTTATCGCTCCATCTATCATGGATAATGAAATCAGACTTCTAAGTGCCTGAGGATGAGTTTCAGGCTGCATTACTATTCAGGGACTATATGTAACCATACTTCACCACGCTGGTCAGTGCGGGTTTGTGGAGCTTGCCTGACAACAGGAACACATCACTCACATTTAGGTGGGTGGAAAGCATTTAAAATTTTTACGAAACTATTTTTTATTTTACCAGGTAAGGCCCACTGATCTATATAGCTCTTTTTCAAAAGCTACCTGGCAACAAATGATGGCCCAATGAAGTGGCTTATCATGTGGAAATTTATAACAGCCAAATAAATGCATGTGTCTAAATGTGGAGGGAAAAAACGGAGAATCTGGAGTGAAATCCACGCGACCACAGACAGAACATGCAAAGACTTGATTTGAAGCTTTCGTGACTGCAGGAATTACTCTTTGGTTTTTTCGGTAAAGTCACGTATAAATAAGAAATAATCAAATAACAATAGTGTACGACGTTTCGGTTGCAACACAAGCAGCCATCATCAGGTACAGAAGAGCTAAATTTAGGAGAGAGGGGAAACACATAACCTCAGATGTATATACAGACACCCAAGTAGGGGGAACTGACACAGATACAACAGGGGACACAGAGAGAGAAGCATACCAGACAAACAGGGTTTAGCAAAATTTTTGGAACCATGTAAAGCAACACAGACGGTCGGTCCAAACACAATTATGCGTTGTGTTTGGACCGACCGTCTGTGTTGCTTTACATGGTTCCAAAAATTTTGCTAAACCCTGTTTGTCTGGTATGCTTCTCTCTCTGTGTCCCCTGTTGTATCTGTGTCAGTTCCCCCTACTTGGGTGTCTGTATATACATCTGAGGTTATGTGTTTCTCCTCTCTCCTAAATTTAGCTCTTCTGTACCTGATGATGGCTGCTTGTGTTGCAACCGAAACGTCGTACGCTATTATGTTATTTTATTATTTCTTATTTATACGTGACTTTACCGAAAAAAACAAAGAGTAGAACATGCAAACTCCAAATATACAGGCATCATGGTCGGGATCTAACCCACGACCTCCTGTATACTTGGCGAGGGAGTTAACATCTCACCAGCGCAGTGCCACTCTCGCCACTGCGGCGAGGGGAAGACCGAACTCATGGTGAGTGGAGTAGCTTCGTCATTAAGATCACATATACTCTGCACTGAGTAATGAGCAACAGGGAGAGAATATACACAGAGGAGATTGGAGTTGGGGCAGTGTTGCATCTCCTTGCTGGTGATGACGCTCACCCGTCACCTGGTAGGACATCTCACGGTAGTGCGTGAGGTCCTCTCCGCTCACCAGCACCAGCCCGGGGCACTTCATCTGTGCCGCCTTCACGCTCATCATCTTGCAGACACCCATCGCCCGCGCCACATAGTTACACGTCACCAGCAGGTACTTCTGCTGGATCCCTGATGAGCAAGGAACAAGATATTTATTATGTTCTATTTATGTACTTCGCCTGTATATCCTGGGGTATCATGACTATGAGTTTAATTGATGCTTAAATGTGGAAAAATACTTTAAAATCAGTCAGGTGTGCTACCACAGGGTGCTGTAGTCATGTCACTGGATTCGCGTTTTTCAAAACGCAGGGCATAAAATCACAGTGCTGTCATTAGACACACAGTGATGTCACTGTGTGTGTAATGATGTGCATGACCGTCATTTTCAAAAATCAGTTTTTATCAATAATACTTACTGTTCATGTTAGACAGCTGAGGGCATATAAGACAACAGCTATTTGTCTTTTGGGCTGCACCTTACACTAAGCATGCTGACATGTTGGGTGCAGCAATGGCAGGCAACTTCCGAGTTCCTGTGGACTGGAATACAGCCCATCTCCCCGCATTCCCCAGCACTCGTGTAGATGGTGTCGCAGACTGATGTAACGCGTGTCGGACAGTTATTGGCAATTCCATTCCGCAATAGAGATGTGCTACCGATTTTTGGATTAATCTAGAAAATGTGAAAATCAGGCGTAATATTACATAATTTCTGTGCTTTTGTAGTGACATCCCAGATTCTTTGGTTCTATTCGGTAAAGTCACATGGGTAAAAAATAAAACAACAAAAATCACGACGTTTCGGCCACAACACAAGTGGCCTTCATCAGGTGAAGGGACCAGACTGTCTCGAGGACAGCGCTGGAGTGAACACAGTCAAGCTCAGACCGCGACCTTTAAGCACGGCATACAATGTGCTCACATCGCGGACATCACGTATGTAGCAACATCGTGAATGTCGCTGATTAATGCCATCTCTAGCGAGGCACGGCATGCGATGCATTGTCATCACGGACACCCCCGTAGGTGGGTGTAGTCACAGCCCTAGAGGGGGCTCGGTGAGCGCTGGGATAGCAAAGTGACACCACGAGTGGCGTGCAGTGCTGCGTCCTACCGGAGGGAGTGTAAGAGTGTCAGCCATGGGATGAGGTTACCCTGGGCCATGGCACTCTGGTTGACCCTGGAAGGCACGTGACGGGTAAGATCTACACAGGGGCCCCAGGCAGGGGCTAGGGGGTGGTCACGTGTCGGGGGAGAGATCCTACGGGAAGGGTCGAGAAATGACAAGAGGTTTCTCGAAGGTAATCGTGGCCAAGGGCGGGGCCAGCCACGACCCGGGAGCATATAAACCGGGTCCCCACAGGGACCGGGGTGCTGCGTTGGTGGCATCATCCGAAGAGCTACGATCTACGTCCAAGAGAAGAGTCACCAACACGTGGACGATGAACCAAGCCAGGGTCCTGTCCGTTGTAGCTACTCAGAGTAACTAGCGTAGTTAGCCTGTTGGTCCCCCACCATAGGTTATCTGGTGAAGGGGCAGTAACCCCTTTGTGTTAATGTGTTGGTGTAAAAAGATATGTGTTGCCTCCAAGAAGTACGTTTGTGACTCAGTTGAATCCACTACACTTTTACCACGAAGTGATGTCCCATGGCATGGGGTGACGTCACCATTATGAGCATGTAGACATCTTACATTAGTGATTTCGATGATTTAGAATACATCCGGAAATGATCCCAAATTGTCCTGAATGATCAGAAAATCTGAATCGTCTGTTTAATTCAAAACTCATCCCTATTCTCTATACTGGTGAAAAACCCACCGAGTGGTTTGTCTCTCAGTTCTGGATTCCGGATCATTTCCACTTGGGCATAGAAGCAATCCATGTCCACGTGGATGATGACTCTACTTCCTAAGTTGGTGGCCATGGATCTCGGGAGAGACTTTGCACCTGTGAGCAGAGAATGACAAAGGCAAGCAAATCAAACACATTTATCAATTTCACTGCCTTAACATGAAAAGTATATAATAGACAACGTTTTGGGCAATTGGAATCATCACACATTTACGTGATACCGTTGACTTTCACAGAACGGTACTCAATTTATTGGCCGTATAAAGATAACGAGTAGAGTGGACCTTCTGAACTATTCAAATGCTCTGCCCGTTTGCACAAATGAACATGACATAAGATGTAACGTGTACTATGAAGGACCATTACCCGATAAACAATGCACATCATGTTTTCCTTTAAGCCCAGTTATTGTGCTTGAACACCACTGCCAACGCTTCATCATAAAATAATGTTTACTTATGCAATTTGTACTTATTTTATTTTATAAATGTATCTATTTTAGTCACTTGCTTACCTTTTCTCTATTATGCACTCCTATCGTGTTTTGTATTGTTTAGTGTTGTAACTTGCTGACCCGCTCCTACTGGGCTACTGTGAAAAAGGGCTTATCTCCTCGGAAACCTCCAGTCTGAATAAAGATTCTGATTTCGATTTAAAGCTTTCGTGACTGCAAGGATTCATCTTCTTTGGTTCTTTCGGTAAAGTCACGTAGAATGAGAATAAAATAATAAAATAAGACATTTTATTCTCATTCTACGTGACTTTACCGAATGAACCAAAGAAGAAAAAAAATATTCTGATGTCTGGCCAAACCATTACTTATATTATTTTTTAAAGCAGTGTTATTGACAAATGTGTCGAGTTTTATTTTGTTATTAGTGCTTGCACACCAATTCTAACGCAGTATTGCCAAACAATTGTAAAGGTGCCATAAATGATCTACCTAATTCGGAGTGCAGGGCAACTTTTCACGGCAGGTGATTTATGTAACCTGCTTACAAATTGTGATCACAAGACACTGCAAGAATTGAAAGTGGCAGAAACCTCGAAAAGGTAGGTAAGTGGGTAGGCAGGCAGGGAGGTATGCAGGTAGGAAGTCTATGGAGATAGATTAAGATGCAACCTATTCATGTGCCCACATATAACGCATGCAATGACTAGCATGGTTGGTTATGTACGGTGCGAAAGAAGTTCAACATACATACAGCCGTACTCCAGGCCGCTCAAAACTGTGTAACGTAATTTGTATTTACCCAGTAGGGTAGCGCATTTGAATTACATTCGGGTCGACTCGACCCACCGCATCTACATGGCCCGCTAAAACGAGCACCACTTTGTGGGAAAGTTTAACAGTAGTTGGTCCCTACGGATGACCGGTGCCCGTCGCGGGAACGTGGAAGTCATCATACGTGGGGTGTTGGTGATGTTTTCTCTCCACTCCGCCTCGTCCTCCGAGGTGCCCCCCCACTCCTGCCCGTCACACGGCACCCCGAGCTCCCCGCCGTGGTTCATCACGGCCAGAGTTTGCAGGGGGTGGCCCAAAAGACGCGACCGCCAGCCCACTCTGCGTGTTCTAAAGTTGGCCTTCACTGCTCCAGCGACTTGGGCGAGAAATGCGATGCGTTATATTATAACAGCGTTACAACATTAGCGCACGGATATTACTATTACTCAGGTTTAGTTCGGATAATTGATACAAATTGGATGTTCGCTGTGATGCAGACGCAGAGTAGTAGTCTAATTCCTGTACGATATATGCAAACAGACGTAAGCAGGTATTTAAGAATCCCACTTTAGACGCTTTGAAAAGCAAACAACAACAGGAATAGTCATCGCTAGTTGCCCGTATCGGAGATCGAACCCGTGTGACCGAGCTGGGCGGCTTGAGCCATTTGCTTAAAGACAACAGTAGCACACAAAAAAACTGTGCCAAATCTTCCCGAACCCTCTAAGCGTGGATTTCTACCAACAAGAGCATCTACCAATTTCTGAAGACGTCAAAGGGAGACGGACGGTAGAGGTATTCTGGAAGACGGTAGAATCTTCCTGAATATTTTAATAAATAACACGAGGCTAATACTATTCGGTTCTTTCGGTAAAGTCACGTAGTTATAAATAAAATAGAACAAATCACGACGTTTCGATCGCAACACAAGCGGTCGTCATCAGGCAAAGGAGTCAGCCTCTAAAGGCAAACTGTTTATAAAGGTTTGGGGATGGGCGTAGCCCAAATGTATCAACAACACCAGGAGCACGGGCGGTGCACGAGTGTCAATGCAGCAACAATGCCAATGTAGCAACAATCTCAATGTAGCAACAATGCCAATGTAGCAGCAATGCCAATGCAGCAACAATGCCAATGCAGCAGCAATGCCAATGTAGCAGCAATGCCATTGCAGCAACAATGCCAATGTAGCAGCAATGCCAATGCAGCAACAATGCCAATGTAGCAGCAATGCCAATGTAGCAACAATTTCAATGCAGCAGCCATGCCAATCAGCAGCAATGCCAATGCAGCAACAATGCCAATGTAGCAGCCAAGCCAATTAGCAACAATGCCAATGTAGCAGCAATGCCAATGCAACAACGATGCCAATGCAGCAGCAATGCCAATGTAGCAGCAATGCCAATGCAGCAACAATGCCAATGCAGCAGCAATGCCAATGCAACAACAATGCCAATGCAGCAGCAATGCCAATGTAGCAGCAATGCCAATGTAGCAGCAATGCCAATGTAGCAACAATGCCAATGCAGCAGCAATGCCAATGCAGCAGCAATGCAAATGTAGCAGCAATGGCAATGTAGCAGCATTGCCAATGCAGCAACAATGCCAATGTAGCAGCAATGCCAATGCAGCAGCAATGCCAATGCAGCAGCAATGCCAATGTAGCAGCATTGCCAATGCAGCAACAATGCCAATGCAGCAGCAATGCCAATGCAGCAGCAATGCCAATGTAGCAGACGATTGCTTGTGTTGCGATCAAAACGTCGTGATCTATTATTTGCTACGTGACTTGACCAAAAGACCCAAAGAGAATGAATTCCTGCAGTCACGAAAGCTTTTAATCAAGATAAATAACACTGTGTAACAAAAAAAATGTTCCTGGGTAGTAAGTGTTATTTCCTCATTGGTTATGCCTCAAACGTACATAAAATTGCTATTATTCCGCACAAACTTTGCTTCTGTGACCAGGACAGTGATATTTTGAAATTTACCTATTTTCAATGAGAAAACGCGGTGCGCATTTGTGTCATTCCTTCACATTAAGTCCTGGTCACAAAAGCAAAGTTTCTGGGGAATAAGAGTCATTTTATATACTTTTTGGGCAAAAGCAATAAAAAAAATACCACTTAGTACCCAAAATTGTGTTACATCGTGTAACCATTGTCTATCAATTCCGGAAGATGACAACAAAACTGACGGTAGACATCTTCCGGAAGATCTGCCCCCCACGACTTCTGGAAGCACGCGGCGAGAGAGGCGGGATGGAGAGCAACCCCCCTCGACTGGGGACGTCACCACGCTCATCCAATGGAAGACGCCGTTACAAACCGGCCCGCCCCCCCCCCTTTCCCGCTCTCGTCATAAAAGGGCGTGGCGTCCGTGAGGCACGACGCGATTGGCTGAGCACCTTTACCCGCTCGGAATGGCGCCTTTTTTTGTGCGGAACTTAAAACCCGTGAGGAAAGAGGCAGAGTGGCGGTAGAAGTCGTCGCAAGAGTCGACGTTTCGCGACGAGCATCGTGCGCGTGTACGAAAGAACTTCAGCGATGGCGGAGTGCGACCTGGGGGGGAAAGGCGCCCGCATTTGGTCGATGCTGTTGCTGCTGGGATGGGAGGCGCCGCCCGGCCTCCGCGTCTCAATGGGGCCGTGAGTGGAGGGCCGCTAACTTTTATTTTTAAGTGATAATGATCACTGTTATAAGTCGCGCTATTGATGAATGTGAATTATTTCATGATTAAACGATCGCCGTGGTATTCGAGTTGTTAGGCGATTAGGAGAGTTTATCGGTGTGTTAAATACGTCAAGACTTCTAGGATATCGTACTTAACGAGTTCACACAAATATTGGCGTCTTTAGATGCTGGCGGTAAGATAATTGAGTTGGGCTCGCGTTTAATAAAAACTCCTATGGACTTATTTAATGCGTATTTATTAAAGATCAATGCCAATTGCCCAGCGTCGTATATACTCTGTACAGTACTCAAGATTGTTACGTGGGGTTCTACCATACAGTGGATATTGTTTTACAAGTTAACCACTGAGAATGTTTCTTATTGAGCAGGGATGGTATACACATGCGCCTCACTTTCCATGACTATACAACGGTTTCTATATTTTAACATAAGAATTACTTCTTAACATACAGTACAAATTGTCAAGCGTCGCAATACGAGTCCATCTGAAGTGCATAGTGGTTGTGTCAGTAGAATAGACAAGTTGGGGGGAAGAGGCTGATAAAATATAAAATATAACAGTTTCGGAAGGAGTCTCATATGGCAAGGTGGTGATGGTATTGTGTGATGATGACTTGGCACGACTGGACAAATATTCGAGTGACCTGAAGGATGTTTTATAAGTCGATGGTGTGTTCCGTTCCATGTTGTATTATCTGCACCCTGTTGTACAGTCATTATCAGTAATTTTTGTTGTGTAAAAAAACAGTACAGTAATGTGTACGGTAATTGATGTAGGTTTACACGGCTCTATGTACAGTACAGTATGAGCATTTATCAGACTGGTTTTATGTCAAGGTTTACTCACTTGCGCATGTTTATTGTCTTCAACCAGGGACATGTTTGTGAAGCCGAACAAATGTGCCTTTGAGAACATTACATATTTTCTATTTTGTAAGCTGAATCCAGTGCTAGCCAAGGAGCGATTCAGGTAAGGTCGGTTTTTTTCTGCGCCCACGCTTAATTTATATCATAGTCATATATCAACAATTATGTGCGATGAAGAAGAAACGTTGCCTGGCACATCACCTATGTTTTATGTTAAGGCCACAATGTTGATGTACGAGTTTTTTTAATTCAACAATTAATTAATTTAATGATTGTGATATCAGATGCAGGTAAAATACCTGTTCCTCAGTGCCTAGCCTGCTGTAATAAACTTAAATGGGTAACTGTTTTATTTTAGTCTGCTTTTTCATTTTTTATTTTATTCAGACTGTGCATGCCTATTGTCGACAAAAAAATGGAGCAGATGTTTCGCAAAACATGCAGCTTTTGGCTTCGAGATGTATCGGTAAGTCTTTACTGTCTACCAATCTCACGGAAGTAAAATCTGCTATATAAAGTGAATGATGAGTCCATTTTTATGTAATACTGTAGTCTTAATTACTAAAATGACTCTATACAACGGATTGTAATTAATTTTTTTCCAGCAAAGTTTAGCAGTGTTTGTGGTTTTGCTTGTATGTTCTCTGACAGGAAGAAAAGCAGAGCTGTGGATTTCCACAGATTCAGCACTCCTTGTTTATTTCTCCTGGGGGAAACCTGTTTATAAACGTCATGTACCATTTCTGCATTTACGTCTTGGAGAAACAGATTTTAAAATTTAAAAATGGTAAGCATGATAAAGTTTGTCAAACATTCTTTTTTTTACCTGAGTGTTAAAAAAATGCAATGTGGAGAAAAGGCAGAACACTTAAAAAGGTTTCCATGGATGGTCTCACAAAGTCACTTGCTGTTCTGATATTTCCTGGCCACCTTAAAGCACAGTGTATTTTTTAGAGTTCCACAAATCTGCATAACTTGGCAATTTTTGAGAAAATTCTAAAACAAAAATGGTTAATTTGTCGATTAGGAATAGCAAGAAGAATGCACATTCTTGGTTCTTTCGGTAAAGTCACCACATAGAAGGGAAACAATAAAATAATAAAAATATAAAACAATTCCCACGACGTTTCGACTGCAACACAAGCAATCTTCATCAGGTGTGAAAACCATAGCAAGAAAATTAAAAAAGTGGCCTGTTTTTTTGAATGCACATGCCAACAGTTGCATGGTACTTGATATTTGTGGCGTGCAGTGGACGAGTATCGGTCGCGCATGATCCCACCAGCGTCACTAAAGCCCAGGCTGAATGGCATGGAGGATGTGGTGGCCGAGAGGCTGATTGCCGACACGGCACTGCTGCGGAAAAAGACGCTGCAGCGCGTGCACCGCATGCAGGTGGACATAGAGGAGTCGTGGAACAATAACAGGTGAGCACTGCTGCCTCCGAAGTGGCTCTGTGAGCTCCTCGAGGCTTGTCGCCTTGAATGAGGGAGGGAAAAAAAGCCAAAGTTTTGCAAAAGCTCTGTTCTCCGGAATGCTCTATTAGCTGGTGTCTGTCAGACGGCAATACAAAAATCTTCCTTTGCATGTCCGGAAAAATTCCGACAGCCATCTGGCATCTTGCCGTCTGCTTATCATAGATCTGTTCGTTATGGAGCTTCAGGACGCAACCGATTGGTGGCACTTGCGGTAGTCTGTACATACAGCACTGTACTTTGTATACTGTACTCTAAACGGCCCCACTGCTTCTCTACAATCAACTTGGAATGCTTTCCAACTGGCTGGTGAGTACCTCTGTAAAACAGTATCTTTTATCTTGTATCATGGTTAAAATTTAGGCTTTATTTCTTTCTTGAAAAGTTTGTACTTGCAAAATTTGGTGAACCACAAGTATAACCGGAATATTTTATTTAACTGGTACCCTCCATTCTCCATGGATGCCGGATAACAGAGCTGCTAAAAATATATATGGGGTGCTTGTCTTTCCCTAATCCATCAGTAGTAATCCCCATGTCTATGGTGAGCAGGAGTCTGTAGGATAACCTTTGATTTCCCACACAGATGTTTTAGAAAACCTTAGGATTATGGTTATGAGTTGGCCCCCATAAATATTTGAACATGCAAAACTTATGATTGTGAGGTACTCTAATAACACTGACGATTGTGTTAAATATATCCAGTTGCCATCTCTCAATCATTTTTGAACAATTTATTACCTTCATAGTTTCCAGTTTGGGACTTGCATTTTAGGAACCAATTTATGTGACTAGTCTGAGCGTAAGCCTTTAAAAATAATTGTATTGTTGAACGGCTACTGTCCTCATGAGTGATTTTATAATTGAGTGT